CTTGCAATGCCATTTACAGTGAGGGAACAATTTCTTTGCTAACTCTTTCTGTGACTAACTCTTTTCCTCACTAACTTTTTTTTTGACTAACTTGTTTCTTTGCAAACTCTTTCTTTGACTACCTGATATATCCTGACTAACTCTTTCTTTGACTGACTCTTTCCCTCACTAACTCTTTCTTTGACTAACTCTTTCTTTGACTAACTCTTTCCCTGACGAACTCTTTCTTTGCTAACTCTTTCTGTGACTAACTCTTTCTTTGACTAACTCTTTCCCTGACTAACTGTTTCTTCACTAACTCTTTCCCTCACTAACTCTTTCTTTGACTAACTCTTTCCCTGACTAAGTCTTTCTTTGCTAACTCTTTCTTTGACTAACTCTTTCCCTCACTAACTCTTGGTTTGACGAACTCTTTCCCTGACGAACTCTTTCTTTGACTAACTCTTTCTTTGACTAACTCTTTCTTTGACTAACTCTTTCCCTCACTAACTCTTTCCCTCACTAACTCTTTCCCTCACTAACTCTTTCCCTGACGAACTCTTTCTTTGCTAACTCTTTCTTTGACTAACTCTTTCCCTGACATTCTAAAAGTCCGTAACACGGAAGTTTCTCCCCCTAAACTTCCTTTGACTATTGTCTTTTGCAGCTGGACTTTGTAAATCGTATTGGAGTGGCTGCATGAAGGCTGCGACAGTGATTTGTCAGCAGATTTTCTCCATTTTGGCGCTAGTGATTTTCCTTCTAAAAATCCTTTTAAAAAGTGCTTCAAAATCGTCTTTTTTTCGCTCTGGCGTCGAGATCCCGGTTTTGGAGCTACAATTTCCGACGCCGTTGCGCGTAGTTCTATTGTGTTTTGCAACTCAGTCTCCGCAGATCGCATTGGAATGGCTGCGTCAAGGTTGCTTCTTGCTTTGGCTGCATGCGTAATGTCTTTTGCAGCTGGATCTCGTACATCGTCTTGGACTGGCTGCATGAAGGCTGCGAAATGGATTTGTTAGCAGATTTTCTCCATTTTGGCGCTAGTGTTTTTTTGTTGCACCTAGGTTTAGAGCAGTGTGAAGTGTGCAGTGTGAAGTGTGAAGTGTGCAGTGTGAAGGAAGCAGTGGGAAGTGAGAAGTGTGAAGTGTGGAGTGTGAAGTTTAAGTTTGGAGTGCGAAGAGCGCAGTGTGAAGTGTGAAGTGTGAAGTGTGAGGTTTGGAGTGTGAAGGAAGCAGTGAGAAGTGAGAAGTGTGAAGTGTGGACTGTGAAGTGTGAGTGAAGTGTGGAGTGTGAAGTGCGAAGTGAGAAGTGTGAAGTGTGAAGTTTGGAGTGTGAAGTTTGGAGTCGGAAGGAAGCAGTGAGAAGTGAGAAGTGTGAAGTGTGGACTGTGAAGTGTGGAGTGTGAAGTGCGAAGTGAGAAGTGTGAAGTTTGGAGTGTGAAGGAAGCAGTGAGAAGTGAGAAGTGTGAAGTGAGAAGTGTGAAGTGAGAAGTGTGAAGTGTGGACTGTGAAGTGTGGAGTGCGAAGAGCGCAGCGTGAAGTGTGAAGTGTGAAGTGTGAGGTTTTGGAGTGTGAAGGAAGCAGTGAGAAGTGTGAAGTGTGGACTGTGAAGTGTGAAGTGTGAGTGAAGTGTGGAGTGTGAAGTGCGAAGTGAGAAGTGTGAAGTGTGAAGTTTGGAGTGTGAAGTTTGGAGTGGGAAGGAAGCAGTGAGAAGTGAGAAGTGTGAAGTGTGGACTGTGAAGTGTGGAGTGTGAAGTGCGAAATGAGAAGTGTGAAGTTTGGAGTGTGAAGGAAGCAGTGAGAAGTGAGAAGTGTGAAGTGAGAAGTGTGAAATGTGGAGTGTGAAGTGTGAAGTGTGAAGTGCGAAGTGAGAAGTGTGGACTGTGAAGTGTGAAGTGTGAAGTGTGGGCTATGAAGTGTGAAGTGTGCAGTGTGAAGTGTGAAGTGTGAAGTGTGAGGTTTGGAGTGTGAAGGAAGCAGTGAGAAGTGAGAAGTGAGAAGTGTGGAGTGTGAAGTGCGGAGTGTGAAGTTTGAAGTTTGGAGTGCGAAGAGTGCAGTGTGCAGTGTGAGGTGTGGAGTGTCGAGGGAAGGACACGGTCGGGACAGGTTGTCTTTGAACTATAGGTCATTTATGTTTGGGAAACTTCCGCCGCCGGCTTGCCCGGGTCTATGTTACATGTCTCTTCTGCATAGTATATCATAGTATGACATGCTCGACATGGCAACAAGAAATGGTGTCACGCTTATAACAAGCCCGATTTGCATGCCAGTGCAAATTGGAGATTCCGTGAATGCATTGGAATCGGAGAGAAAAAAAAACTACTCTTCTCAATCTGCAGGGTTCCCTCAACAGTTCGAGTCCGAATTTCCACATTTCGGAAGTTATATGCTCACATACGTTCCTTCGTGCCCAAATGCAGTCAAGCTTCATTCTTGCAAAAAACGCTCGGGCAGCAGACGGTGACGAAACCGTCATCCATGCAGCTATCAGTACATCCCTGCCAGGAAATGCTGCACTGCTTGCCTTTGAGCTGAAACACAGCAGTCACAGCAGTCACAGCAGTGCAGGGCCTGAAGGAGGACTGCTGCACCACTAAGAAAAACCTCAGGACGGCATCGCCTACAGAGTACCCTGCAGTTCCTGAGGCCCCTGGGTCCAGTGAAGACTGCACATTGGTTCCCTCACAGTAACCACATGCCAGGGCCCTAACTCCAATGCTGAACCGAGACAAAAATCGGCTACGCATGGAACTGCACCTGTTGCGTCGCCAACGACAGCTTCGAAAAGAAAGTTGACGAAACTCCAAAAGTCATGAACCGGGGTAGGTCCCGCAAACAGGCGCGGAAGGCCGCACAGCCGGAGCGCAGCTTCTATGTGTCACCAGCCATGTTTCCGGCTTGAGCCGTCACGTTGGATGAGGCCGTGAAATTTTCGTGGTTGCCAAAATAATCCCACCGCCCTCCCAAAATGGATCCAATACTAACCCAGGGCTTCTGGGTTGATTACAGCCCCATGGAGTCAAATTGTCTACCTGCATGACTCTGGTGAAATGGCACGTTCGCAGACAAGAAGGCAAGCTGTGCAGAATGGCGGTACCCAAGTCTCATGAAGTCGTGGTTCTGCTGAAACTCGGGTTTTTTGAATGCTTCCTGCAAGCCATTGAGGACGACCATCCCAGTGAGAACCACAAGCTCTTGGTCCACAAGCTCACCATCAGGATCAGTTCCATTCCCACAAGGGGTTCATCTGCAATCAACCCCTGATGCTGCTAGATCTTTGTCCCTTAGTCCCTCCATCACGCAGCCCACCAAAAGGGCGGCTCCAGCATATCAAAGACACCCTTCAGGTCTCCACCAAATCCATACTTTGGTAAAACCTTGCTTTGCACCTGCAGAGGGTGGTTTGTTTCTACCCTTCAGCTGTCGCCATGTCGGGAGCTGGAACTCCCAGTATCCACAACGCAGGATCTGAGCTGGCCACAGAAAGGAACAGTTCTTGCCGCAAGAGGATCAGCTTGGGATCCTTCCACCACAACTGGGTTCAAGGAAACTTCTTGCAGCAAATCATCATGTTTGCAATCCCAGCAAGTAGTTGTCCTACAATTTTCCCTTCAACCCATTCTGGAAAGAGAACATCAACCAGCAAAAATGAGGAGATTCGAAAAACATGAGGAGAGCGAAATGTGTCCAGCAACAGCCCCTGCTACGGCTGCTACAGCTGTTGCGGGCTCGTCCTTTCTGTGAAAGTTCTCCAGGTTGTCAAGCCTGGACCAAGCCAACTCTGCGATCATACCCAGTCCAGGAGTTACTATAAAGTGATTATACTTGTTCTATAATTGAGTGGAATGTGTATCCCAAATTCATTCTTTCGTCCACAAATAAAGTAGTCATGCCCCAAATTGCTCATTGGGAAAATGGTGAAGAAGCACTAAATTTGGGCTACACGTGCCATTTTTGGACGAGGATATATCCCCGTCAAGACACGGATTTGGAAGGAAAAATCACAGGAAAGCCTCCAGGAAAAAGCGTAACTCTTGATTTCCCAACAAAACAAGCCATCACGAAGATCAAGAGGTTTAGAATGTTTCATATATCATATTGATCATCATTAACCATCATTAACGATTAATATGAACCATTAATATTAACCATTAATATTAACCATCAATATTAACCATCATCATCCCACATGTTCAGCCAATGTTCAGCTTCCGTTCGCCTCTGTTGAAATTGTGGTTCCGAAAATCCGGCATAGAGATCTCGCTGCATCGACACAGCCTCCTGGATGCTGAGATCATGTACGCCTGCAAGGCACAAGGGAATTATGGTGTCAAATTAACTGGTTCAACATGTTTTAACTATCCAAAATTGGGATTTGACTAGGAAAATTCTGATAGAAGGTTGGGTTCAAATGGATACAAAATGGGATCATATGGGTATTGTTCAAAGTTACAAAGCAGAAAAATTGGCTTCTTGCCAAGGAATCAACAAATATCTGGGTCCCTTAGTACAAGTAAAGTACAATCTTCTTGAACCAAATCCAAAGGTGCCTGCTTCTTCTGGCTGATCTTCATCCACCTCCACTTCATCCTGCGATATTGTTCACTTGGAATGCCCATTAATGGTGAAACTTAGCAATCCCCATTCATTGTTGTGAAAATCAGTGAAAAGAAGATACGTTTACAGTTTACTGGTTAAAATCCCCTGACTGCAAGAGACCTTGAAAACTGTTCATCCCATTCCAAATGAATTACAGTATCTTCGAATCACGGCAAAATCACACAGAGATGGTCACTTTTTGTCGTTGGTTCAAAGCATTCTACCACCATCCACCAGCTGAGCAGCTGAGTCGGCAACATCAACGTTATTGGCCCCAGCCCACAGCCCCGCAGTTTAGTTGCTGGCTTGGATAGTCTCTTCTACTCTACTCTTCTCTTTTACTGTTCTCTCTTCTGTGTGAGTCAAATTGAGTCAAGCTATTGAGAAGCCATACCTATGAGTTTCTATCTCAAAAAGAATGTCTCAAAAACATGTGTGCCCCTGCAAGGTGTTAGAAAAATCAATGCCACAAACAATTGATTCATCCAGTAAGAATGACATGTATATCATGGACTTCCCAACGGCACACCGTTTGCGGCACAAGAAGACAGCCGCGGCACAAGTTACCACCCTGACCCTGTACATCCAGTCCTGGCTCCGCCCCAAAAGGCCCTTGATGGCCGAAGCAGTGCTGGAAGTGCTCGCCTGTGGAAATTGCAGTGCCAACAAAAGCCAGAGCTGTTAAGCAAGAAGCCTAAATAAAAATATAACTTTAGCATACTTTACCTATAAAAATGAGGATTTAGAAAATGTAAAGAATTGATTTTGGAGAAAAATGAGGCCGTAACCTTCAGAACTGTAAGAATGGTGGTTGCCTCTGGCAAACCATTCAGGGATTCAAGGGAAACCCAAATTCAAGCCAAAAACAGTACCCATCCCAAAAAAAACTGCAAAAAGCAGCATCTTACCATCATTTTCCCAGATTTTGCCCTGGAAATTCCTCCCATCACCCCATCCGCCTGGCGAAGGCCGAAGAGCTTCCCAGGCTCCAGGCGCAGGGTTTTTTCCACGCGGCTTGAGAGCTCTTGGATGCTGCGGTCACTTCCATGAGCCTGGCCGCTGCAGATTCTGGGGGTCTATGAGGAGTTTAACCATCAACAATGGTGTTTCACCAACCAAAAATGAAGATTTAGTTGGAGATATCATGGGATTTAACCCACCAAGCCTGAAAAGAGGGGAATTGAACGAGGATATCACGGGATATGATTTGGGCTTCTCCAACTAAGGTAGACCCCCATATTTTCCATATATGTTCCATATATTTCCCGACCGGACTCGCCTTCACAGCATCCATCAAGCGCTGGAGCTTCCAGTGGCCCAGCTGCAGCTGTTCTGCAGCCCTCTGGGAGGCTTGGCCCATCAGCTGAGTCAGACCCAGCTGCAGCGCCACGCCACCACCTGGGATGGCATAAAAATGATCCAAAGATGGATGGGCATGCTGGGTTTCATCGTAGTTAACTCAACTACGAGACAAAACTCAAAATGGAACATGACAACTTGTGACAACCTTTCAAAATCAAGGGCTGTATGAATGTGTTTCGCACTGAGGTGGGCTTTGCAAGTCGTGGAAATTGGGTGTTTTCGTGAGAAAAACAAGTGGAAATGATGAGCTGACTGAGCTGACAAGTTGTGAAGTAAAGATAAGTAAAGAAATTCAGCTTCCGACGATCCAACAGCTTCTGAAGTGCCACTTGCGTCTCTTCTTGCCCACAGGCCTTCTCAAATTCCTCGGAAAACACGACAGTTTTTTTCTAGCGGCGGTGTCCCAACATGTCCCAACCTCCAGCAGACGTTGAGTCAGCTCCAAAGACCTTTGTGCTGCAAGTTGACAGACTGTGTGAAATCACTGCTGCATGAGGAAACCCCACACAAAAACAAAGATGAACAATATAAAATGTGAAACAGCAGAGAAAGAAGTTGTCTGTTGGAGAGTTATATGTGTTCAATGTATACTTAAACTGGATTCAAATGTACTGAAATGATGACACAGTTTGAGAGAACAAACAGGTGATTACAAATTGTGCGAAGACCTCAGATAAATTCTGGCTTTTCACAAGGCATTCCAGCACACCAGCTTTGAAATTCCACAAGTGGCTACGAAAAAGACTGAAGAATTGGTGATTTCAGGTCAAGATCTTCAAGTCATTTCTTTCACAAAGATCTTCTTTCATGTCGCAACTAAGCTCCTGGCAGTGGACCCTCGCGCTCTGGTTCCAGCTCTACGCCCAGCAACATGAGTTCGTTGCGGCGGCTACCATCAGGATTCCAGCCCACAATCTCGTGGTCCTGCAAAAAACGTTGCTGGTTTGAACGAAGGAAAACTACGTCATAAAGAACATGTACGTAATATCAATATTATGTATAGATTATGTATAGATTATGTATAGATTATGTATATATTATGTATATTTTATGTATATTTTATGTATATGTTATGTATATTTTATGTATATTTTATGTATATTTTATGTATATTTTATGTATATTTTATGTATATTTTATGTATATTTTATGTATATTTTATGTATATTTTATGTATATTTTATGTATATTTTATGTATATATTATGTATATATTATGTATATATTATGTATATATTATGTATATATTATGTATATATTATGTATATATTATGTATATATTATGTATATATTATGTATATATTATGTATATTACATATATACATAATATTTTTTGTTTATATATAATGGCATATTATGGAACACAACCTCCCAACATTAGCATCTTATGCTTGAAGCCGGACAAAAATCATCAATGTGGTCAATGTGGTCAACCAAAATCTGGAGATATCTGGAGAACCTGCGTTTCGTGTCCTTGAAGGCGATCCATGGCGCAGTGCCCGTGCCGGCTTTGAACACGAAACGAGCCTTCTTCTGGATGTCGTCCCTCTTCAGCTTCTTGGACAAAGCATCTCTGACTGCACCAAAGGTCCAGTTGGTCCAAATCTTCAAAGGAACTTCACCCGCCTCCACCGCATGTTTGATGCGTATCTCGTATTCTTCAGGAGGTGGTGGTGGAGGCTTGGGTTTCGCCACCACCTTCGGCTTCGGCTCGGCTCGTGTCTGTGGTTCGAAACGTGCCGGCACCGGCTGAGACGCCGTCTGCGGTGTCTCCATGCCATCCCTGAAATCGCTGACGCGCGGGGGAGGCACATTCAACTCTTCCTGCAGGGTTGCTCCCAACACTCCACATATCAGCGACGTGATTCTGGAGGAAATCAAGAGGTAAAATATCCACATATCCATGATGTTTCTCGCGTTTTGTGCCAATCATTCATCTACAAAGAGGCAAATTTAAAATATCATTAAAAATATCCACATAATCCGCAATATATCCATGATTGTCCCCCCTTTTTTGCATCACTGGTCCTGTGGTCGGCTCTTTACCGCATAGGGCTGCGGCCGGCCTGGCGGCTCTGTGGCGATGTGCTGCGGGGGGCGCTTCATCTCGGCGTAGGGATGCACCGGTGGCATAGCCTCGTCATGGCTGTCCTCCTCCGTCCGTAGGTCCGCGCCCAAGACCAGGACCTGAAAAAAACGGTCGGAAAAATGTGGGGAAGACTGAAAAAGGAATTGTTTTGTTCCAGAAATAACTGGAAAACATTGGAAATACTTTGAAAAGGAAAAAATTGATCTAGAAATTCCAAATCTGCCAAGGAAAACAAACTGATTTGGGATATGTATGGGGTCCCTGTGAATCCATCTGACAGAACAGCAGCAAGAGCGTCTCAATTTGGCCTGTCGCGTCTCTCCCAAAGGATCATCATCCTGACATTGGCGAATCGACCGCTCTCAGTTCAGGAACGGGTACTGTATGAGTCGAGAATTGCGCACCTCCCCGTTTGTGACAGGAAATCCATCCCTTCCAAAGTGGTCGATATTACCAGTAGTACTGCACAAGGCCGTGGCGGAAGTTTCAAAAATAGGTGACCTGTAGGAGAGGTTGGTTGTTGCGAATCACAGATGGCAGAGTAAATCCACTGATGGACTGAAAGGTGGTTGGAGCTGTGGTTTTTGGAGTAGTTGCAATGGTTGCAGTGGTCACCTCACCACAACTGTTGGATGTAGTTTGGTGTAGCGCAGTTGTAGCTGTAGTTGTGGTGTAGAGTAGTGGAGTTGTAGCTGTAATGTAGTGTAGTTACTGTAGTGTAGTTGCAGTTGCAGTTGTAGTTGTGGTGTGGTGTAATTAGCGTAGTTGTAGTTGTAGTGTAGTGTGGTATATTGTAGTGTAGTCTAGTGTAGTGTTGTGTAAAGTAGTGCAGTTGTAGTTGTAGAGTAGTGTAATGTAATTCGTGTAGTGTCATTAGCGTAGTGTAGTGTAGTGTAGTGCGATGTAGTGGTAGTCGTAGTTGCAGTTGTAGTTGTAGTTGTAGCGCAATGTAATGTAATTAGTGTGGTGTAGTGTTGTGTAATGTAGTGTAGTTGTATTGTAGTTGTATTTGTAGCTGTAGTTGTATTGATGTGTGCTGCAATGTAATTAGCGTAGTGCAGTGTACTGTAGTGCAGTTGTGGTTGTAGTTGTAGATGTCGTAGTAGTGGTGGTGGTGGTGGTAGTAGTAGTAGTAGTTGTTGTTGTTGTTGTTGTCATGCAATGCAATGCAATGCAATGCAATGCAATGCAACGCAACGCAACGCAATGCAATGCAATGCAATGCAATGTAGTTAGTGTCGTTTAGTGTCGTGTAGTGTCGTGCAGTGTAGCGTGGTGTGGTGTGGTGTAGTGTGGTGTGGTGTAGTGTAGTGTAGTGAAATTAGATGCAATTAGAGTAGTGTAGTGTAATTAGTGTAGTGTAATGTAGCGTAGTATATGTGTATTTGTAGTTGTTGTAGTAGTGTAGTGTAGTGTAGTTGTAGTTGTACTTGTCTATCTATCTATCTGTCTTTATGCAAGTTGGAAAACGAAGCTATTCTGCCAGACTTCCTCAGTTTTTGAATTTGACAACATCAAAAACGCAGCGATTCTCCGAGATTTCCTCAATGCTTTAACTTGACAACATCAAAAACGAAGCAAATCTGCGAGACTTCCTCAATTTTCGAAGTTGACAACATCAAAAACGAAGCAATTCTGCGAGACTTCCTTCAAAAATGGAAAGTTGAGTGCAGAGCTGACGGCCTCGTACCAATGCGTTTTGCGATTTTTCCACTCCATCTGTGTAAAGCGCTGCGCCTGCCACAGTGATAGCAGGTCATACCAAGTGCTGCCCCGGTCACGCAAAATCATCTTAGCAAACCTGAGGTCTGGTGCTCCAAAATTCAACCCCTCTCAGGAAATCAGCGCCCTGACCTCCTAACATCTCTGATGAGCATGTCTCTTGTACTGCCCCTGCCACGCGAAATGCATCTGCCCAGATCCTCTTCAAATGTCCCACCCCTGCCATCGTTTTTGGAACTGCTACAAAACCCTCACGCTTTGCTCACTTTTGACCATGTACAGAACCCCTTGCACCTGCCACACCAAACAACATCTGAACGTCCAAAAGTGGTCCGTCTGTCTGTCTGTCTGTCAAGCCGTGCGCCGCGCGGCGCTTGGGCAGCTCCAACTCCATACATATGCACACAACATGCAGACTAAAAACCTCAAGGCAGTGTGCTACAAGGCAGCCTGACTGGCCCCAATCGATTCATTGGTTCAAAACCAGTTGGCGCCATTGCTATTCATTCTGGACAACAATAACAGATTGCGAGTACTACCTGTAAGGAAAGTGCTAGAGAAAAAACTTCAGGTATCCACTTTTTACGAGGCCGGCCTACCCTTCTCAGATATCGAGATGTAGCAGCAGTGTATGTGCCGAGACTTGTCTCAGAGGGTGGTGCGGGTGGCAACGCAGAATCTTTCCCAAAAACAACAGCTGTTTTCGTTCAAGAAGTTTGGACACTGGAACGTGCGCACTTCGTTGCCAGACTTCAGCGTTGGGTGTTCTGGACAAGAAAGATGGCTGTATTCCCAAAATAGAACGCAAACATCTGCTCTGGAAACCATCTAAGCGACGTTTTTCTTGCTTCGTCAAAACCAATGCGCACAGGCTATAGAGGAGCCTTGATTCAACCACAGTTTCGTTCTATTTGCACTTTTTGGCGGTAGTGCAGCGATGAATGTTTCCAAACCTTCTGCAGTGCCGCAAAATAACTTTTGGCAATCCCAGTGCGTCTAGATAGTTCGTTGCCGTGCTTACCATCAGCAGTCATCATCGTGCCCAAGTACATCATACATTGCTGTGTCTGTATGCACGTGTTGTCTGGTAAATGAATATCAGGATTGCAACGCGCACCTAGGAGTTGGAATTTGCCATAGTGAAGTTCCATGCCATACTTGCGACCAGCTGCCGCTACAACGGCTGCACTTTTTCGACCTGTCAACTTCCAAAACTGGTCCGAGCATGGTGTGTTTTGTGAAATGTGGCGCAAAGTGCGCTTTTTCGACATCGCAACTTCCAAAAGTTCCGAAGCTGACGTGCTTTGTACGTTTTGACTTCCAAATGTGCTTGGCGCCACAACGGCGTGCAATTTTTCATCTCTCCTGGCCAGATGGCTCCGCACCCGCCGCTTTAGCGAGCCTACTTTTCGACCCTCCGCAGCCACAAATGATTGGAAAAACACAGTGTTTCGCGACTTTCCTACCTTTTCACGCATCTGCATCTTCTTTCTTCTTACTCTTCTTTCTTCTAATCTTTCTCTTCTCTCTGCCTCTTCCCTGCTCTGCTTTTCATCTGTCCATATTGTCGGAAGTTTGACTTCTAAACTTCCTTCGATTACTTCGAAGCCGAACTTCGCCAGGATGGTTTCACACTCCAGGGTGGCAACCCAATGGATGGAGTCACTTGGATTGCGGATGGATGAAGCATGCAGTTCCGGTAAGTGGTAAGTGGTTTTACCGTTTTAGCCACAAAATGGTCTGTAAGTCTGTAAGTTGCTATAATCTGCAACAATGCCTACTCTATGCCAGTTTTCAAGGGATATACTAAGATACTATGGTATAATCCAATTCCATTTATCATTTGCTATCCTAATATTCTCCGAAGCTGGTGTGTTTTGTACATTTTGACTTCAAAATGTGCTTCGTGCCACAACGGCGTGCGCTTTTTCGACATCTCAACTTCCAAAAGTGGTCCGCACCCGCCGCTTTAGCGAGCCTACTTTTCGACCCTCCGGAGCCACAAGTCATTGGAAAAACACAGTGAATCGCGACTTTTCTACCTTTTCGCGCACCTGCATCTTCTTTCTTCTGACTCTTTCTCTTCTCTGATCTTCTCTCTTCTTCTCTTCTCTTTTCTGACTCTTCCCACCTCTGCTTTTCCATCTGTCCATATTGTCGGAAGTTTCACTTCTAAACTTCCTTCGAATAGGCAGAAAGGTTAAATGATACCTCTACATATGCATTCGTTGTGCAAATACTATGTGTATATATATATATAGATATGTCACAAATACTATGTATGTGAATGTATGTATATAGATATAGATATAGATGTAGATATAGATGTAGATATAGATGTAGATATAGATATAGATATATATATATAGATATAGATATAGATAATATGTATATATATATACATATACATATGTATGTATATGTATGTATTCATGTGATATATGTATAGCATATATGTACGTATTGGCTGTCTTGAGTGTGTATGCGTGGGTCCAGAGCCCTGGAGGTCCACAGCAGTCCTTGAAAGCTGAATAGACGCCTCCTTTCTTCTGCACCAACCTGCCCTTTCGGAGAATCTCATCTCGGCCAAGCAGTTTAGAGATGGCCTGACGCTTGCCCGGCTTGCCCTTCAACAGAGAATTGGCGCATCTGTCAGTGCCAAAATCAGGCAAGGATCAAGGATTTTCTGATTTTCCTTTGCAACAGTAGACTAAAATTACCAGAGGGTCTAAAATTCGGGTAATGCCGGACGAAGGTTCCAGAAATGAACTGGCATTGAACAAATCAAGTTGCATTTGGTTTCAGATCAGCGCCAAATGGCTCTTCAATGGAACAACATCTTGCCAAGTCTGACCATGAGTATCAACTGCAAACTGCTTGGCCTGTTTGCAGTCGTAAAACGTTGCGTTCTGTGGAAGCTCAACTCTCACCTAAGCCAAGGCCAACAGGCACTTCAAGCTAGGCGAAGCTAGGCGCAAGACATTTTGAGTCTCAATCTTGTGACCGGACAGCTGGACAATGAGTGCTTCAGAGTTTTTTCCGCACCTGTTTTGCCTTTCAAGAGATTCTTCTAGGTATAAAGAAATAAAAGAAACGATGCATCATGTGGCACCATTCATCACGATCCGTACCTTGCGTTGGCTTCAAAGCCCAACTTCAAGCTGAAAGATGACGATGGGTTCGTACGAGTGCCGCTCAGGGCCGCAGCTGAGGTGGCTGAGTCAGCGGTGGGTGCTTTGCCGCCTAGGGCATCCTCATACCACGCACTCACTTGATCCCAGTTCACCACGTCCCACCAAGCTTTGATGTAGTCAGGACGGCGGTATTGATACTTGAGATAGTAGGCATGCTCCCACACATCACAGCCCAAGATTGGGATGCCTGCTGTGCCTTCCACACCCTCCATGAGAGGATTGTCCTGGTTTGGTGTGGAGGTAATTGCCAGCTTCTTGTCACCGTCAACAACCAACCAAACCCAGCCAGAGCCAAAGCGCGCTCCAGGGGCGCCAGCTGCCTCAAACTTGGCCTTGAAGTCGTCCATAGATCCAAAAGAGTCATCAATGGCTTTCGCCAGCTTCTCTGAGGGCTTTCCTCCCTTGCCAGTGGGTGCCATCTCCAACCAAAAGAAGTTGTGGTTGTAAGCACCTCCACCGCTGTTGCGGAAGGCCGCACCGTCTTTGATTGCAGTCTTCTGCAGTTCCACTAGAGGCGGCTGTGTCTTTCCCTCCATTGCCTTGTTGATGTTGGTGACATAGGTCAGGTGATGCTTGTCATGGTGGAATTCCATCGTAGCTTTGTCGATAGAAGGCTCTAAGGCATCATAGGCATAAGGCAAATCTGGCAAATCATATGCCTGAGCAGATTCCAAACCCAGCACACCTGCCAATCCACTGGCAAAGCCCGCTGCCAAAGAGCGCCTGGTAGCATTTGTTGGGCTCACAAAGCCCCGCTCCAAGCAGCAGACCAGCAAGCAGCCCAAGACTAGGGCAACAGCACCGCGGCGGCGAGCCATCCCCGAAAAGAGCTAGGTCCAGTGTTCGCCGATATTTTAAAGTCTGAACCAGCGCAGAGTTGGTTGGAAAGCAGAGACAGCACAAATGCAGCATGGTGCCACCTCAAAAACCTCTTGCAGCACTTGCACATCCGGAACCAGATTGCGGTAAGGCCATTTTGGATTTCCAGTATCAACCATTCATCATTGATGTCGTGTGAGGTCCCCATACAACATCCAGCAGCCAGGTCAAAACAAAGGTCTTGGAACCAGACTTCCGAATTGTCCACAGCATGTTTGGCCACCACCTGACACCAGATCTGCAAAAAAATCAAACATTAGGGGTCCCATAATGGGCGTAAAAAGAACCCGGCTGAATCCTTTATGATCTCCTCAAAGAGATGATCAATCGCCCTGTTGGGAGGGTATAGCAACCAAGAACCTAGAAGAAATTGAGCTAAATCAAAGTAACAAACAAAAACAAAACAAAGTAGCCAACCGTAATCGACCATTCACCAGCTGAACAGCACCCCACCTCGATGAATCGAGACCTGCTTGACCTCAGCCAAACAGATCCTGGGAAAAAACAGTCCTTCCAAGATCAAGGACCAGAGATATTGGGATTCTGTGTATATGTCTCTGTATATCTATAATCTATAACATATATATATATATAGTACCAAAAAAAACAAAACAACAAAAAGTTGATTATTGCTGTCTTAGTAGGATTCTACTTTTCTATCTTTCTTCGCGGGTTACTATCATGATAACATAGATATGATGTATATACAACAACGTCAAGGGTCCAACCTCTTGAAACAACCTTGAGATTTCCAGTCCATCGGTCCATTGTACATCCCCATCTTAGGCACTAGACGCTGAAGGCTGTGTCTTTGGCTGTACTTTCGGCTGCATCTTTGGCCGTGCCTGCGACACGAGCATCCCCGTCATTCTCGGCAGGAAGACACACTGTTTCTTGGCATCTGCCGACAGACAAAAAAACAAACATAAGTACAAAATAAGAAAAATACATGGTGATCATCATATGGGGGGTTCCTAAAATAGGGGTACCCCCAAATCATGCATTTATATATAGATGGGATTTTCCCTTATAAACCATCCATTTTGGGGTACCTCCATTTTACGAAACCCCCATATGGCGGTGCTTGAACTCACCAGCGACACCCACCTTGGGCTCATCCTGCTCCAAAGGAGGGTACTCCGGTTCCTGCCCCGCTTCGCCAGGGATGCCGAAGAAAGAGCCGGGAGGCATCCGCAACAGGCGTTCCACCTGGTCGTGGCATCGAAACTGGTCCCAACCATGAAGAGAGAGCCCTTGAACTTGTGTAACCTGGTGTGAGCACCTCAAGTCATCTCCTATCTGGATTCCAACCAAGGTCATTAGTGTGTTTTTCAGTTGAACTAATCAACGATGCTTACAATTCTTGCAAATCATATCAGAATATCCTACCACAGACCTACAATGGTAATCCCCAAACAACGGTTTTTCATCTCCAGGCCTCGTGAGCTTGTGCCTTGACGTGGACATTCCAGGAGTGTTTGCTGATTCCTCGCGCCATATCCTGATAGCCCTCGTTGGTCAGGGGGAAATCATACATGGCCTGGGCGAAACTCTGGCGGCAAGACTTGTCTGGTCCTGTTGTTTGTTGGTTTTTGATGTTTTTCGGATGTCCAAAATCGATGGGTCACGAATCATGAGTTGTTGATGTTTGAATGCCATGGAGAGAGATCCGAAATGGTGAGACATGCGAAAGCCATGTGAAATGAGAAATAGAAATAGAGAATATGGTGCCCTAAACCATGCCAAAAAATTGCCAAAATGGTAGTTCCATGGACGGACCATTTGTCTGCATGTGTGTATATACATACATACATACATACATACATACATACATACATACATACATACATACATACATACATACATACATACATACATACATACATACATACTTTACTTTACTTTACTTTACTTGACTTTATATTACATTACATTACATTACATTACCATACATACATACATACATACATACATACATACATACATACTTTACTTTACTTTACTTTACTTTATATTATATTACATTACATTACATTACCATCCATCCATACATACATACATACATTACATTACATTACATTACAATACATTACATTACATTACATACATACACACACACAGACATACATACATTACATACATTACATACATTACATACATTACATACATTACATACATTACATACATTACATACATTACATACATTACATACATTACATACATTACATTACATTACATTACATTACATTACATTACATGCATGCATACATGCATACATGCATACATGCATACATGCATACATGCATACATGCATACATTACATACATTACATACATTACATACATTACATACATTACATACATTACATACATTACATACATTACATTACATTACATTACATTACATGCATGCATACATGCATACATGCATACATGCATACATGCATACATAGATACATAGATACATAGATACATAGATACATAGATACATACATACATACATACATACATACATACATACATGCATACATACATACATACATACATACACACAGACATACATACATACATTACATTGCATTGCATTACATTACATAACATAACATACATACATACATGCATATGAACATTTATACATATACATCACTGTGCATGGAACCTTTCTGAGAAAGTCCAGCTTTCCCTGAGAATGAAACAGAATAAAACTAGGAAAACAATGGTAACCAGCTACATCTCAGCCATGCGTAGCTTGGGACGCTCAGGATGCCACCAGTGTCCTGTTGAAGGACTGGCCGATGAACATGGGCTGCATCTTCTGCACGGAATCAGGACCTGTGCCACAAAGCTCTGTGCCATTTCTACGCTTGTGCCATGTTGGATTTGAACAAACCTCAAACCTGAGGGCCTGAGGGTTGGTATTGGGTTTCCCCACATTGAGTTTTAGTCCAAGAAGCCACCAAGCACCCCAGCCATGCCCAAGCCTTGCTTGTGGATGTTGCCCAAGGTCCGCTGGAACTCCTTTGAGCTGGCAATCTCCCGAAAGGCCTGCAGCCCCAATGGGGGAAGTTGAATTGCCATACTCAATGTTTTAGTATCCAGCTTCAAATGAAGCAGCTGCAATGGGCCTTCAGCAATTCCTTGGCTTCTCCCAAATTCAGCGGCCTATCTCTGGTAGACTTCCTGCCATGGGCCCAGCTGCATGGGTCACCAGTCCCTTGGGTCCCCAATCTTCGGCAGGTGTACGGCTCTGGACCTGCTGGCGTCGGAACCTGCCACATGAGGCGATGATCAGGCACCAATATCCTGCAAGGCCTGAGAGTGTCTCCAGATGCATCTGAAGGCCTTCTGAATCCCGCCTTTCCCTTTTTTAAAAGGCACCCGCTTTCTCGCACAGGTGCCACGGCAAACCAGGATGGCAATTTATCCCAGCCAAAGCCAATTGAGCAGCTCATTGGCTGGTGAAACGGCTGCTAAGCTTCCTGGTAGCTCTCCCATCCACATGAAAAATGTTGGAAGCGTTGGTGCACCAGGAAAGTCGGAGTGAATAAAATTTGAACATGTCTTTTTCGATGTTATTTTGGTTTCCGTGTTCTCCTTGAAATTCTCACACCATAAATCGTCGTCTGCCAGCCTGCAGAGAACATCGTCTGGTCGTTTTGAGTCATGCGAAGACAAAACACAAACAGCTTAAACAGCGAGGCCTGACTAGAACGAGCCCTTGGAGAGGTCGAAAAAGGAACCTCCGGCCCTGACACAGGAGACATCCGAACCTTGACATCTCACAATTGGCATCGCCTTGCAGTAGAATATCAGAAATCAATGAGTGACTGACTGATCACAAAACACATAATGATAACATCAAACATCCTCACCCGGCCTCGCGGGGATGCGGCGCTATACCCACGAGCCGGTGGCTCCATTCGTGTAATCTTGCTGGCCTTTGGTTGATACGACTGCGCCTTCTGCTGTTGTTTCAATCCTTCTTGCTGCATCTGCAAGATCTGCTGCAGTTTCTGCAGCTGGTCGATCTTGTGTTGCAACTGCTGTGCTGACTGTTCCGCTTCCTTGTCGATCTTATCATCAAAAAGTTCTGTGAGCAACGGCTTGAAGTCAGCGAGATTCGCTGGTCGCGGCGTGCTCGGGGTGCTGACGGCCGGACGTGGGGCGGTCTGCACATTGGCAGGACGCGTGGGCAGCCGGGCAGTGAGAGGGCACGCGATGGAGTTGCGAGCCTGGCACTACTTGGCTGGTGAGGTCAACATAGGTCAAACATGTTAAAAGACATCAGAAAACTCGGGACGTAAAACCGAAATGGTGATGCCCACAAGGACGGGGATATACACGTTCCAAGGAAGGTCTGTGGCCTGCCGTGAGGGCGTGTTCAACTGCTGAATGACGATCTGCGCCAGGGATGGCACGGGCTCAGGAGACCTTGGAGTTTCGAATCCATTCGGATGCATCCGGAAAATAGCCATTCACCAAATTGTTGCATGATATTCTGCCATATTCCGCCACAATTGGACTAAACAATAGTGACAAGTAATAAAAAGAATAAAATATCAAAAGAATAAAATATCAATTATTATTATCATTATTATCTATTATTATTATTACAATAACAATAGTAACAATGATACTGATAGTGATAGTAATAGTAATAGGAATAGGAATAGTAATGGTAATAGTAATAGTAATAGTAATGGTAATAGTAATAGCAACAGCAATAGTGACAATAGTGACAATAGTGACAATAGTGACAATAGTGACAATAGTGACAATAGTACAATCAGAATACTAATAAGTAATCATAATAACAAGAACAAGAAGAAGAGTACTAATACTAAGAATAAGAAGAATAATCATAATAGTAATATTAATCTCTAGTATTATATATATAGTCATATTTCAGAGGCTCTATATTGATGAAAATGGCGTTTTTTCCAGGAAACATGACCTCAATGGGTGATTTTGCTTCGATGTCCGCAAGTTCGCCCACTAGGCTTCCAGCGGTGAGAGGAGAGATGGCACCGAACAAGACTGCGTAAACGTACGTCGTGGCAAATGAGACACACCGCGCCTCAAGTTTTCACCAACCCGACCACTAGTCATGCCTTGCACAAAGTCCCAAACACCAATTGCTGCAAGATCTGAATTTCTCACAAAGGTTCAAAAAGAAGAACTTGACATGCCCATTTTCCGAAAAAAAAACAAATATGTCGAATAATCCAAAGCAGATCGAGGTCAGCTCTGTAGTACCGAAGAAGCTTTGTCGGTCACCTGCAATCGATCCCGCGGGATGATGTCGCTGTTTAGTTCACTGCACATCAAAATTTTTCCCATCTAATGACAGAAGAAATCTGCTTTCGGGGGCTCAAATCGTTGCATCTCAGTAGTCTTTCAAAATTGTTAAGTTTCATCATTATTCACCAAAATCATTTAAAAAAACAGGCTTAGCAAGGCGTACCACAGTGGCTGTAGGAGGTGTCGTCAATGATGCCACAGGAACTGTGACTGACCTCACGAAGCTGCGTGTCGCATGCTCCATCAATTGAAGATACCCAACAGCCACAAATATCATGGGATGAATGCACATGCCCCTTGCGAGCAGCAAAGGACTGAAGGCAAACAGGTTTGTGAGTCCTCTTGACTTGTTTTCAGCCTGTCATTCACACACACTTGATCAGAACTGTCGTTGCGAATTTTGTTGTGGAATGCATCAGACGTGCAAAAAACACCAACACAAAAACATAACACAAGAGATGAACCTAAAAATATAGATATGTATATATATATAATCACTGTAGACATTGACGGTATAAAACAACAGCGATATGATATACTATTTTTTTTGGTAGTAGCGCCTTAAATGCACCCATGGGGGCGGGACTGTACATAGATAATATAAATATATCTGCAGGTACAGGAAACCGGCCACGTTTCCCTTCCCACTCATGCCCACAGCTTCATTGTGTGGGGTAGGACATGAGTGCCTCATGCCCCTGCGATAAGAAAAAGTTTTACATCGATTCAGATGGTACACACACACCCTGCCGCAGCAGGGCAAAATGAAGTGAAAATGAAAATGAGATGGAAATGAACATGAAATGACAAGCTACCTAACCGGGACAAGAGACTGGGCAGACTTGTGTTCACTCATTGCATGAGCACCTTGTTCGTTCAATTGAAAATTCTTTCTGGAAATTTCCTCGGCCGCTGTGTTCTCAACATGGACGAGATGATCTCGAGCTTCACTCATCCACATCTCCCTCTGACGTTCCAGAGCTTCAGAGTGAAGAGCGTTGGCCTCACTCTGGAGAGCTCGTTGCTGAGCTGTCATTAGTTCACCTGCCAGAGTGGGATCCAAACCTTGGTTCACCACTGTTAGCTGGGCTGTCCTCTGATCAATGTTTGTCATGTTGATCGTGTTCAGTTGGCTTTACTGCATATCAATATCAAGGACACCTGGCACAGTGAGGCGTGGGTCGGTTCTGGAACATGGGTCAAAGGCTTCTTCAATATAGCTCATGTGTCCTTCAGTTGTGGGGGCACCAGAGTGAATTGCCGCCTCTTGCCGAGCAGCGCCTGTCAATGCTAACGCGGCCGTGGCGTTCCCGGCCCCGGGCGGGCAACGCTGAGCGAGTGGCATGGCGATGAAAGCGAAAGAGTGACAATGAGATAGAGAAACAAAGGTCAGAGCAACCGATTACCTTTGGCGATACGGCTGAAAACCTATAGAAACAGGTATCTAGCCGCCATCGCCACAACAGTAAAGGTGAAATACTACGACGCGACTGTGTGCTATACATGTGACACTACCGTGCAACAACAACAACAAATATATCAGCAGGTACAGGAAACCGGCCACGTTTCCCTTCCCACTCATGCCCACAGCTTCATTGCGTGTCGTAGGACATGAGTGCCACATGCCCCTGCGATAAGAAGAAGTTTTACATCTATTCAGATGGTACACACGCACACACACACACACCGTCAGGCAAGCAAATGCATGCTTGACACGTTTTACCACAAAAGCACCAGTAATTATTCCTGCAAATATCATTTCAAGTACGAAATCCCATCAACTGGAGCGTGGCTGATCTGTCTTTAAGCTGCGGCTGCCAAGAACCATATTTCCAAAATTGAAAGGACGTGCTTGGCGGCCCCCCAGCGGCAAAAATCTTCCATCACATGGGCTCTCCGGCCAATCAGTAGCTGCTCTCTGGGGACATTGTAATGTGGGCGAAGAACTCCTGATGCAGAACAACCATAATTGGATTCTAAGCTGAACGACCACAGCACCCATTTTTCTCCACAAAATAGGCTGCAATAAGATCGCAGCTGACAGCACCAAACTACATCAGAAATCAGAATCAGAAATCCCATCTCTACCTGCAGGAGTTTTGCTCAAACGCATCTGACATCTGGGCCTGGCCGATCCGATGGGCACAGCCACTGTGAAGGCACCCCTGGGACTTGTCACAGTGGCTGCCAGGTCCGGCACCGTCACCTGGCTCAAAGCTCGGAAAACACAACACCCGGAATTGTGGTGGTTCCCCACTTTCCTGGAAAATCCAACATGGAAAAAAGTGAAACCAACAACCAACCCATTTTTTCTGTGTCAAAACTAAATGTTTTCGCATCCACGTGCAAGAAGCTAGAATCTCGGTTTCTTCAATCCATGTGTGAATGCCCCTGGTTTCTCCCTGTTGAAGAACAATATCACAAGGGCAACGCAAGTTGGAAGTCAGTCAACAAACACAGGCCGGCCGGCCGGGACCAACGGCGCACTTGGAGGCCTAAGTCAAATCTTCAGTTGGCACAGTTGGCCCAAGAAATGGGCCAAATCCAGTGTTTCCTGATCATTTTACCAGATGTGCATATATACACATATACATATATATGTATATATTTTTATATACAGTACACTAAAACTGCACTAAATTGATGTATCCCGCATTGGGCCCAAACCCAGTGGCTGGGATTATCCAAACAAAATCGCTCGGACCCGGGCGGCACCACCGTTGCTCTCATCTTCCGACCGGTGGGTGGTACACCTGCGATCCGAAGTTAGCAGGCCTCTATCACCACCCTAACATTTGATGACTTCCTGTTGGTTTTTAAATTATTCCTGATGATACAAAACCGTATAGTAAAGTATATACAAGGTAGAGCCCGGCACGCGCCGGGGCGGAAGTTTCAAAAATAGGACATGACCAGAGGAAATCAATGGCCTATAGGAAAGCTTTTGCGATGCAGAAGCAATGAAGTGTTGAAGTGGTAAGGTGCATCAACGAATGAGCAAATGGTTGTTGAGATGCTATTGAAGTGACATGAAAGAATCACTGCACAGCTGCATGAATGAAACAATGAAGCAATGAAGCGATGAACCAATGAATCAATGAATCAATGAATCGGTGAATGAATTCAATGGATCAATGAAACAATGAAGCAACAAATCCATGATTCAATGGTTCAACGACTCAATGAGCGAGTGAAGCAACGAGTCAGTGAATCAATGAATCAATGATTGAACGATCCAGTGAGCCAATGAACCAACGAATCGAATCAGTGAATCAATGAAGCATTGAACCACTGAATCAATGAATCAATGAGTCAACGGATCAAGGATTTCAAAGATTCAATGAATCAACGAATCATCAATGACTCAGTGTTTCAATGAATCAGCGCATCAATGAATCAACGAATCATTGGATCGATGAATCAATGAATCAATGAACCAGCGAATGAGCGAATCAATGAACTAATGGCTCAACGATTCAATGAGTCAATGAATCAGTGAACCAACGAACCAATGGTTCAACGATTCACTGAGTCAATGAGTCAATGCATCAATAAATCAGTATAATCAGTGAAACAACGATTCAATGAACGAATGAATACAATAAATGACATGAAATCAAAATAAAACGAAAATGACATGAAAATGAAAGGACATGAAATGAAATGAAAATGAAACAAACTGAAATGAAATGAAAATGAAATGAAATGGAAATAAGATGACATGGAATCAAAGGAAAAGAAAGAAAGAAAGAAAGAAAGAATGAATGAATGAATGATTGAATGAATGAATGAATGAATGAATGAGTGAATGGATGATTGATTGATTGATTGATTGATTGATTGATTGAATGAATGAATGAATGAATGAATGAACGAACGAATGAATGAATGAATGAAGGAATGAATGAATGAATGAACCAAGGAATCAATGAACCACTGAAGCAATGTGAATGAATCAATGGATCAACGAAATTTGCCAACTTCATCTTCCAAAACTGCTCTGGCACTGTGTCTTTCTACGATTTATATGTGAAACCGAGCTCTCGCTACAGTCTCGTGCGCATTTTACCGACCTCATCTTCCAAAAGTGCTCCGAACACGACAGTTTTTTTGCGATTATGTGAAATCAAGCTCTCGCTACAGTCTCGTGCACATTGTGCCAACCTCATCTTCCAAAAGTGCTCGAAACGTGACAGTTTTTTAACATGTTCAAGTGCAAACCGAGCTCTCGCTACTACAGTCCTGTGCACTTTTTGTCGACAACTTTTGCACATCAAGGCCCGCAACCGCGGAAACACAGACCCTACTTCGGCGACCACGGAAGCCACTTTACCCTAAAAAACAGGGATTTCGCGCCCGATAGTCTTTTCAAGCCTGAATTCACGCTTTCCTGACTTGTTACACTTCCCATCTACTTGATGATGATGTGGTTGACATGATGGTGAGAATGATGCCCATGACAATCGTCCGTAACTCGGAAGTTTTCTAACAAAACTTCCTTTGATTGTACAACTTTCTGATGTTACACCCCTCAACAATTGATTTGATGATTGTATTTGGAACATGTTGGACCATGTTGGAAGGATGCAAAAAATATCCCACTCTTCGGCTTCACGTGGCCTTTGGCGCTCGGTCTCCCGGCTTTGGCCTCAGACGCCCTGCTTCCAGCCAGACACCAGGAATGCCCGTTTTCCAGAGACCCAAAATGGGTATACCCAAAAAGAATGCATTTGTTATTGTGAAAATGATGATCAACGATGGAATCGATGGGGATGACTCAAAATCATTGACCACTACGAGACTCGATGGCGAAATAGATCTCAAGCGGCTGGAGAGTCCGTGGGAGTGGACGCCACCGATTTGTCGACCTCGTTTCTCGCCTGGCGTCACTGGGATTGTCTCAAGCCATTATGGATGTACCCCCAAGATGGGACCGATGTGGGGTCCGAAAATTCCGGGACCCTGACACCAGCCGGTATACCGGGAGTAGCTGGATCCATCCACATATTTGGCGATTTTCTTGGGGCAATGTCTTTCCACGAAATTCTAAACCCAGTTTCATTACAGGTTACATGATCAATCTACTCACTCAAGTAGTTGAGGCATCTTTCAGGTACCTCGGGGACTTTTTGTGGTGCGGCCACTTTGGCACCTGCAGACAGATGATATGCGAAGCAATGGTACAACTGGGCATTGTGATGGTAATTCTGAGAATGATTGATATTATATATTATCCCATTTTATTGAATGATATATTATTGATATTATATCATATATACATATATAGATTGATTGATATTGTTGAAGTTAAATCCCATCTTATTCCCATTAAATCCGATCCCATGAAATTCTGAATTTTGAATCCTATGAAAGGCAGCATATTGCGCCTTGTCTGTTCGCCACAGAGCTTTGCCTCCCATTCGCAAGACGTGTGTTGTGAATCTTCTTCGTTGGGCGTGTGGTGCCAAGTCCATATTTGTATCATCATCCCTTTTCGAATTTCAAACCAACACATGTACACATACATGTATAGTATACATATATATATATACGAATTATGTATGTATGTATGTATGTATGTATGTATGTATGTATGTATGTATGTATGTATGTATGTATGTATGTATGTATGTATGTATGTATGTATGTATGTATGTATGTATGTATGTATGTATGTATGTATGTATGTATGTATGTATGTATGTATGTATGTATGTATGTATGTATGTATGTATATATATATATGTGTATATGTATATATATATATGTGCAGACACACATTCTAATATATTATATAATAGAACAAAATATAATGAACATCATATAATATAATTGACCTACATGAACCTCAACAACCAGCAACAAATAACCAAGGGAATTCAGCACAACGTGTAGAGCCCCACCTTTGCCACGGCTTGGCCACTTTGGGCTTTGCACCTTAGGGCAGTGGAACAAATCATCATCCTAGATGGGCACCAGCCACAGCCAAAACCAAATGGGTCCCCAAACAGCCAAAACAGCGGCCTTTTCTTGGTATCGCTTGGAGACCTGGAGGACTTCACGAAAAACACTTGGGATGATGCTGGCTCGTCTTTGAGCATCGCTTTGGCGGCAGAGCTCAAGTGGAGTGATCTCAGCGATGACAGGCGATGGCGCATCTGAGTAAACCTGGGCCACCTGGGGGCAAACTTGGCTCCTTGCCATTCTTGCCGCTGATTTCGAACAGGTCAAGACTTCGTCATTCTCACCTCAGAGCAAGTTTCACACCCAGCTCAAATCTCACCCCAAGAATCTGCCCTGCAGAGGCTTCAAAACTGACATTTGTGTCGCCCCACCAAGTCCCAACAAAGTCCCCAAGTCATCTCAGTTCCCCTACTTGCTGCTTCGCCTTCGATGCCGCTTTGACTCTCCTTCTCCTGAAATCTGTGTGATGGTTTATCTTACACCCATCAACTAGTTCGATATGTCAATCATAGATCCACCACAAACCCAAGAGTTTTTGGAGTACCGGTCCAGGGCCCATTGGCCTCGGAGTTTTCTTTGTTCCTCTTCATACCTGGCACCGGGTGACCGGGTCCCCACTGATTTCACAACTCAAAAAACAAGCTCGTTGGCAACCCAAAAGTGGAAAATCCATGGCAATTTGGAAAAAATGTCTGGAAAGCTGTAGTTTTGTCAACCATCATCCAAGTTGTGAATGAAAAAACATGCAATAAAAGTGAAAGCTCGGAAAACGCTCGGATTTTGGAAAACCCTGAGGCCCCAACGGTAGGACAATGGCGTCACAAAGCGCTTGACATCCTGTCGGGATGGGTCAAAATGTTGGGCCCAAATGGTGACTGCAAAGATGGCAATTTCAATGGAGAAAATGCGACCACAAAACATCAGATTTTATGATTTATATTGATATGTATGGGATTTAGGGGTTCCAAATTTTGAGACAACCCCAAATCAGATCGTTTACTGTACATAACCTGTAGATCTGGTTCCTGTTTCATGTTGGTACCGATGTGTTTTTACCGGTTTTTAAGCTCAATACCACCATTGCAAAGTCTGTCGGATTTGAGTCTCGGGCGGCCTCACCTCGGCAGTGTGTCAAAACCAATAGTACCCCTGTAGTTCACATCAAAATAGCTGGGATTTATGGATGTGAATAACCCTCTAAAAATCGTATTAATAGGTATTCATTCATAGCCAGATGAACAAATAAGGAGGTTTTCCCAAAATGGAGGTACCCCAAATCATCCAAGTCATTGGAGCATGACTTAGTATTGAAACCCATGGTGACTTGGGGATCCCCCAATTTCACAGAAGCCCCAAACATCGTTCGACAAGTGACGTGGGCCACGTTGTCCTGAGCCAGCTCGATAGCCCAGGGAATTTTAGGCTGTACACCGCATGGGAATGGGGTCGAAATTCTGATAGCCAAAAAATGTTGTAAGTATATACAGGTATACGATAATATAATATAATATATTATATTATATTATATTATATTATATTATATTATATTATATTATATTATAATACATTATATTATATATTATATTACATTATATTATATTATATATCATATATTATATATTACATACTATATATCATATATGTTTAGATTATCTATTTTCTATTATATATTTTATTTATATATATATATATACACATTGTGCAAAAATGGTTAAGTACGAGTACAAGCAGCTACAAGCATAACCCAGCTGTCTTTTTTCCAGAGCCAGACCTTTCGTTCCTGTCTCAAGTGCATGCCACGGTTCGTGGGGTCTGCAGCACAGCAGCATGAGGGCATGGCGCAGATGACGACATCACTAAAGAAAAGGCCAGTGCTAGTAGCAAAGTCACAACAAGAACTCCTTTTCATCATAGGAGTGCATAGTAATGCTGCATCAGCAACCAGGTTTTGCAAAGCAAATTGAGCCATCAAGCACACATTTGATGAGGGTTGAGAACTTATAAGTGTGTCCTGTTTTGCACTACCGCAGTGTTTGAGCTTTGGCTTCAGCATCAACGTTCGCAGGTGTGACAAATCCCAAAGAACAGGCATGCACATAGCGCGCAATGATGCTGTCATCTGTAAACCAGACTGTTCGGCTGCATTTGCAAAGCTTGCAGCAGGCGCAGACAAAGAAATGCCTCAGTGACAACAACATGTCAAAACTCTCAGGTGATATTTTCAACACCCACCTCTCATATTAAGCGCAACCACAACGGGACTTAGGCCAATGACCCACCATCAACACTTGTCGCTTTCCTCCTAACCTTCACTGAAGGCAGCGGAAAAAAAAACCTGTTCCTCTCGGCAAAATCTGATCTGGTGACACGCCTCTGCCCATCTGGCACTGGTAATAGATCCTCAGCTCCAATGACTCCAACGTCAGAAGGGAACCAAGGGAAGCCAGGAGACACCAAAAGCTGAGAAACTGGCCCCATTCTGGCTCTCAATGACCATTCGACCTTAGAATCACTTGCTTCAAGACCATCTGGCAGGAAAATACATATATATATATATATACACACATATATATATATAATGTAATTCTGGAATTATGATACATAAATGTATGATAAATCCTAATATAAATCGGTTTCTTTGATCCGGACCTTCTACGACATGTTTTTTTTCCAAAAGACTCCGGACCTCCCCGGGATCTCCGGCCATTGCGCGTGATCTCGGGTCTTCCCAGCTTCGCGGCCTCGGTGATCTGGCCTCTTTCCCCAGTTGGTTGATATCGATTTCCTCAGGTGATTAATTCTAGATAATTCTAGATGGATTGGATGATAATTCTAGATGATCCTAGATGGTTCTAGTCTAGATGATTCTAGTGCTGATTCTGCTGATTCTGGTACTTTCGACTTGAAGATCGTTTTGGTGACATCAAACCTGGTTGAAAGAACCATCAACAGCAGTCGACGGGCTACTGCTCAGATGCTTGTCATGAGCCGCTCATTTTTCAATGCCGAACTTTACTGTTCTCCTTTTACTCCTCAATTTGTCAGCTACCTTATCCACAACAACCATAGAAGTTTCCCGACACATCGTTTTCAGCATGAAAATCTTCGAGGGAGTGGCATCTTCCCTTAAAGATCTGGCATCCTTTTCAGACCTGCAAAATCAATCAGAATCTCTGAGACTTCTGCCAAAGCTTCTTTCACGTGCTTCATGTTGGCGCTTCCAGGCACCGTTACCACCTCAATGTCGGTCGCCCCGGGCCAACGAATGACATGACAGAATCTCAGGAGCAGACCACAGAATCGCGGTCGGTGGGATGTGTCACTGTCACCTGCACCAACAACTGGTTATCAAGGATCAAATGGGTTTGTCTAAAAAATCGGGTATCACAAAATCCCCTGGTTATGGCCAATAATCATGTTATGTTCCCTATGAAAGTCGCATTTTGAAGGGTATACCATCTTCAGACACCCATCCATACGCCATCCATACGCCATCTGAGATCACCTGAGCCCATTGGCACAGCTGTGGCCTGCACATCCACCTCCGATACAGCTGCTGCTTCCGCTGCGGATGATGTCTGCTTGAGTGCTCCAGCCTTGACATGCACAATAAGGCAATGTCACAATATGGCGCGTGAAAAATATGTATGTACAATATCTATCAATATCTCACATTTCTGTAGATGTATTATGATGTATGCATATTATATCATATTATGATATGTGTAGTGACTTGTGATTCTTATGGTAAATGTCATGATAGAAATAGACATTCTGATATAGCCACAAACCTATATACGATATGTACCCCAAGCGAGACGGGTTCTCTCTCGAATGGAACCCGCTGTTCGGCCTTGGAACCAAAAAGGTCCCCAGGCTGAAATCGAAGATGCCTGGACAAACGGGCGTTAAATCCCTGGTGGAATGTGCTGGATCTCATGACTTTTTAGGGGCCCAGATGGAGGGCTTGCAGCGGCTTGCAATGTTAGGAGCATGGGATTGATGGGATTTCACAGTTGAGCAGCAAAATGGGGTCTCGGATGTTCACCATTGGGTCTCTTGTCCTGGCCTCTCAACCTCTTCAGACAATCTTCGGATGGAAGGATCTCCATGATGAGTTCTCACCTCGGCCAAAAGCTTAACATCCCCTTGCAGTTGTTGCAGTTGTTGCAGTTGTTGCAGTTGTTGCAGTTGTTGCAGTTGTTTTTGACATTCGCAAGCTCCTAGATCTCCCACCAGATCTCCCAGCTGATCTCGATCTGAGATCGGCACGGCAGCCAACATATCGGGAAAGCCATAGAGGTCGATGCCAAATCCCGCTGCCTTCAGGGAGCTCTTCCATGCCATGCCCAACAGCCGCGCCACAGCCTCTGCCGGAACTTGGAAACTCCACGTTTTAGGATGCTGTAACTAGGGTTGGAATACTTGGGATGTTGCAAATCTAACATCATCAAATACAATCAAGGTAGAATTGTGAGACAATTATCAAACTCTAGTTCTAGTTGGGTGAAATTGGGAATTAGACGTTACATTGAAACATATGGAACTGGCCATGACCCAAACGCAACATGACTCAAGCAGAAGATGCCGCTATGAGGTGCCTCTCGCTTCTTGAGAGCGCCCCATCCTCTGCTTCGAAGATTGGTCAGCGCCTGACACAATCAGCAGTGCCAGCGCCTCCACTTTCAATGGTATATAGTAAATATATATATATACATGTGTATGTATTTGTGTATATATATATATATACACAGTATATATATATATTGACACCACTGGTGGGTATCCCCGCACCACAGAACTTCAGGAAAACTCTGCCGGGAACCGGGAACCTTCATAACATCTCATAATATCTTACAATATCAAATGCTGATTATATAGTGGCAACAAAAAAAAAAATATGTTCAACCAAACCCAGCGAGGCCGAGACAACAAATAATTTCAGGCCTTCTGGAAGTCCGACTGGCCACTTGCTACTCTCAGAGACCTCAAGTGCAGCAAGTCATTGGAAGGAAAATTGCAGAAAACCATGGTTTTCACCAGCAAATCCTGCGGTTCCGCGAACTGTTCGATGTTCACAATGCAGTGGATACTTGCTGAATCTGAGGCAGAGTCTCTAAAAGTTTCTTCGCCTTGAAATCCAAAACAAAATCCCTTCGGAAACTTGAAAATGGTCGGTATGGTTCAAAAATTGAAAATCAAAAATCCCATTGGTTTTCTCTTGGTTCATATCGAACCAATCTAACCATCCAAATTTAGGGATCGAATTTTGAGCCGTGGCCATGTCAAGACTCCTCAGACCACACCTCATCGATGCTTAAAGACTTTGCTGTGCGCCTGGATTCGACAAACAAACCCAAATATTCTCACTTCAAGCGGTTACGGGTATGATAATATGTTGGTTGGACATCTTCGATTTCAAGGGCAAACATGTGTATATTTTCTACATGTCGGTATGTGTATGTGTATATATATATATATATACGTATGTGTGTGTGTATGCACATACGTACTTACTTACGTACGTATGTACGTATGTACGTATGTACGTATGTACGTATGTACGTATGTATGTACGTAGGTATGTACGTAGGTATGTACGTAGGTATGTACGTATGTATGTACGTATGTATGTACGTATGTATCTATGTATCTATGTATCTATGTATCTATGTATCTATGTATCTATGTATCTATGTATCTATGTATGTATGTATGTATGTATGTATGTATGTAGTAATGTAGTAATGTATGGTGTAATGTATGGTGTAATGTATGGTGTAATGTATGGTGTAATGTATGGTGCAATGTTTTGTGTAATGTATGGTGTATTGTATGGTGTAATGTATGGTGTAATGTATGGTGAAATGTATGGTGTAATGTATGGTGTAATGTATGGTGTCATGTATGGTGTCATGTATGGTGTCATGTATGGTGTCATGTATGGTGTCATGTGTGGTGTCATGTATGGTCATGTATGGTCATGTATGGCAATGTATGGCTATGTATGGTAACGTATGGTAACGTATGGTAATGTATGGTAACATATGGTAATGTATTAATGTATGGTAATGTATGTATGCCAATGTATGTATGGTAATGTATGTGTATGGTACTGTATGTATGGCACTGTATGTATGTTAATGTATGTATGGTAATGTATCTATGGTAATGTGTATGATGTAGATGTAGATATAGATATATATATATAAATAGATACAAATAGATATAGACATAGATATATATAGACACGACCAGGCTCCCTTCCTTGGTTTTTGCAGCTAAAATCTCTCAATTACTGCATTCCTTCCTTCCTTCCTTCCTGCCTGCCTGCCTGCCTTCCTTCCTTCCTTCCTTCCAGAAAACGGGGAAAATTCAAAAAAAAACGGGAAAAAAATCAAAAAAAAAATAGCCCTCCATATGGGTATATGTATATATATATATATTAGTTAAAATTATAATATACATACATACATATATATATATATACATGTGTATGTGTATATTGGGTTATATATGGGTTGATACATGCACTGCATGGGTTATATACATGCCACTTCCCCAATATCCTGATCAAACCTGGAAAATCAGGTCGTCAAACAACCCACACTACATACCTAACACTACACACCTAATAGATACCTTGTAGCTAACACATACCTATATAATGTACTACCCATTGCATGCCTATATACCTATACACCTACATTATATACAACCGTATGTAATTCCCAATACTATATACTATACACCTAATATCTGTTGACTACCAATTTACACAACTACCACCCCCCACCACCACGCCATTACCACAGGGGAGGAGGGGGGGTATACCACCCCATGGAAAGGAGGGGGGGTGGTAGGGCCTGGAGCATATATGTGTATGTGTGAATGTTTGCGTACATATGCATGTACATATGCACGTACATATGCACGTACATATGCACGTACATATGCATGTACATATGCATGTACATATGCATGTACATATGCATGTACATATGCATGTACATATGCACGTACATATGCACGTACATATGCACGTACATATGCACGTACATATGCATGTACATATGCATGTACATATGCATGTACATATGCACGTGCATATGCATGTGCATATGCATGTGCATATGCTTGTACATATGCATGTACATATGCATCTACATTTGCATGTATCTATGCATGTACATATGCATGTACATATACATATACATATGCATATACATATACATATACATTAATTATGCATATGCATATACATCTCCATAATATACATATCCATATACATATATTGGCATTGGCATATAATATGCATATTACATATAATATGTACCATACATACAATACTTTTGTGTGTGTGCTGGTTTGTCCAAAAATGCGGTATACCGTATACCATATACCTCAATTTTATGGCCTTTTTAATCCGAAACCACCAGATTATGGTGGGTCTTCCAGCACCTGATTCCGACGCGTGAAGCTGAACTGGGCGCAGCACCCCTCAGTGTCCGGAAATGTGAGATCTACGCCCAGCTGAACGAGGCCAACGATTGGGTTTCTGGATATATCTTTAGATTCTATGGTTAGATGCGGTTGTACATTGAACTTAGAAGTCAACTTGTATCACCTTACTGGCTATGTCTGGGGGCCCCTTCCCTTGCAAAGCTGCCATGATACTAGGGGGAAGCGAGTCTTTAACTGGTTTAAGCATGCTTAAGCAAGTTTACTCGGCTAGAAATTTGGACTGCACCCTTTTGTTGAAGAAATCCTTGGCTGTCGCAACCATCAACCCGCCCAGGTTGAGATCCACACGCACTCCGTGAGGAATCCTCAGCCTGCTCACGGTCCAAAGACATGGTGGAAGAATTCACTGAATCATTCTGAGTCTATGCTATGTCCAAAGATACCTGGATAACGAATGATAACCCTAACCTCTCATGACCTCCCACTGCACCCGCCTGTGCGGTCTTTTCAAAGGCGGAAAACGCTCCACGCCGGCGGCTCATGGCGCAACATTCGAAAACAGCAGCTCTGTTTCTGTGCTCAGAAGTCTCAGGACAACTCACTTGGTGATGTGAATTTCGGGAATACACCTAAAAATTGTCCATTTTTAAGGGAAAAAATTATGAAAAACCACTGGATTTGGCGGCAAATCCATGTGCCAGCGAGAGACAGCCTCATATTTTCTTCAGAAGGGATACCAACTCATGAAAAAACATTTACAGTCTACAGTATAAACATTCCTCAGTGGCTATGTGTTGACCCTCAAGTGTAATGGTGGAGCTTCTAAAAGCTTTGCTTTGATCTCCTGAGGTTCCAAGCCACTTCCATGTGAAGTGTTGCGACAGAATCTGCGGAGTGGCGAGCAGGTTTCCCAGTGCATTGCCCGCGTCAGCATCGCTTTTGATCGAATGCAACACATCAGCACTCAGCAAGGGCCAGATTTTATCCGAATAACTAGCAGCAGAGCCAAGCCGCGTCCACTAGCGGTCTCAAGCTTTCATTGACCATGCACTCACTGGTGGAAATGGCATTTCCTGGCCCCGAAGCGTCAAGGACCACTGACTCTGCAACTGCAAGAAGGACTGCCACTTTCACCCCTTCTTTTGAATCCTGGCCTTGGAGAAAACCACTTTTCGGTGAGTATCGGAGAGGTAGCCGCGTACAGCACCAAGATAGATCTGGCACCCGACACTGACTCTGGGTTCAGTCAGTGAGAACGGTGGTGTTTCACTTCAAGGGCTTCTTGTCAGCTTCCACAGAAGAGATTCATGCCAAACGGAAGAAACATCGGGGTTGGTCCGAAAATTTCAAGGGAAAAACACCCAAAAGCTGATCATCTGCCCAATCTGCCCAATCTGAAACAAAAAAACCATGCCCTGAGGTGCCGTACCAGTTGAGCCAGCAGACACGATGTCTCCTTCGGAGTGCAATCGTCCTGCCATAGGAACGCCTGTTCGAAAGGCTCCAGGTCCTGGGGGCTTGGCTCCCAGTTTTCCCAAATTCGGAAAAACTGTTTTTTTGAGATTAAACATGATTAAACTGCATTTTGGATCATTTTGGGGGGATAAACTTAGAGGTCACCCCATCGACCATACCTCGATCCTGGCCGGGTGCGTCCTGTTTCGACTTCACAGCACCGTCCGTGCGAGCCAAGTCAAACCTGGCGCTCTCACTTGGGTCCAAGTTGAGCACCCTGAACTGTTTCCAAGTTGAGTAATCCGTCAAAGTTGGGTATGTCATTACCAAAAAAAAATAGGACCGTTTACCAGTACCAACTTGTACCATGGCTCATGAACAGCAATGACCAAGACCATTCGGTCCCTTCGACAGCTTTGCCGAGGATGACACACATTGCGCACAAGGTTCCGATAAGCCACAACCCTCAGCTTCTCCTTAGGTCTGGAACGGACTTGGGCACTAGGATAATCATTCATTGCTTTTCAGCTATCGCATGAAAAACATGGAAAAACATTGAAAAACTATCTACAGTTGGGGCTACAACAAGAAAAAATATATAACAAAAAGACACAAAAAGATACAAAAAAAACGTTTGTGAAAATACAGAAAGAAGAAAAAGAATATCCACAGTCGCGTAGCCCAAGTACCAACTCTCTACTCCCAAATCGCAACCATCAAACATTCCAACAAGACCGGGCTAAGGGCGCAGCCACCACCCAGTACGTTCCGCAGCAAACCAACTCTTGCTCCTGGCAGCAGCCCGACCCAGCATGAGCTTCGCACATGGGACAACGCACTGCTGCGCCTGGCGTTCAAGCTCCTGGCGTGACTGCGTCATGGCAGTCTTTGTCTGTTGTGAAAATTGAAACTTTCAAAGTCAACCCATAAAAATTGGCCACGTTTGAGGGGGAGATATCATCCAAAGAGGTCAGCCTTTTTTTTACGCCACGACTGCTTCGGGGCCAAGAACAGCAGCAATATCTCAATATATTGCTGTCAATATCTCTGGCATTGCAAAGCTCCTCATTGAACTGCCTTACGTTGCCCGACGATGTCGCTGCAACGATTCCAGACAGACTGGCAGGAACCGCTGGAATCAATAGCTGACCAAACGTTTGCGAAAACCTTCCACCATCGTGATCTACATAAGTCCATATATCAGCGTTTCAAAATATATGATACCCCAAAATCTCATGGTTGATCATCAAATGTTCCGTGAAATTTACGATAAATATCCATTGGTCCATAAATCATGAATGTCCCCAAGTTTTCAGACCCATAGCAAGCCATGCCTTTGAAGCCTGTTGCGTTCCAAAAGACCTGCCACAGGTCCCCCAAGAGCTGTGTATATGTCCTGTAGCCGTAGGTTCTGACAATACAACGACACGCCTCGCGAGGGATAACGTCCAAGTCTCAAGCGGCAGGGAACCAAGTAAAGCAAAATCCTCAGTGCTGAACATGTAAAAAAAGAAACTGTCAATTCTACCCCAAAATTCAGGGTGCAAAGGCTCCCTTCACTCCCTTCCACCAATTCCGGGATGAGAGGTGACTTTGGCCAAGTCTTCCAAGGTGAAACCTTTCTGCTTCAGGAGTGGATTAAGCAAAAAGCAATGACAGCGAACTGAGGGCCAGTACATGCGTCGGTTCCTACCAGCCTGTGACGTCACAGGGAGGTTTGAATTCAAGTCACAGAGGATCACATATTTTGGCAACTGGTATAGGGATGTTTGATTAATGGTAAACTGGTAAACTGTAAACCGTCCCATTCTTGGGTTCCCAGTTTCACCATGTTTCACCCATCTCCACAAGGCTAAAGGCGTCACGCACTGCACAGGACACATCATTTGTTTTTCCACACTGCAGCGCTTTTATCTCTGTTGTGGTAGAGCTTGGTGGGATCCGTAAAGGATGCCTGGATGCCAGATCACATCCTCGGTTCACATGTTCAGAATGCATGCATGAAGCAATATGTGAGGGTTTCTGCTGAATCTCATATTCTGGATCAATACGATCAATACGATCAATACCCTGATTTCAGGTCTTTGAATTGCTTAAGCATGCCCAAGACTTCCCAAGTCTAGGAGGATAGCCCTGGAATCAAAGCAAAAGTTCCGGACATCAAAAGTATCAAAAGTGTGACATCAAAAATAAACCAACAAGCAACCTGCTCCCATCGCCGTTCCCACTGCTGGTTGCCAGACCACGGTAGCTTTAAAACTGCCTGGGATAACTGCGCTTCATCCTTGTTGGACAAATGGCAAGGCGTTACTGCCCTCTGCGGTGCAGCTGGCGCTGGTTGAGCTCCGGGCAGCTGATATGGTGGCATCGGTGGCATCGGTGGCTCTGCTGAAGGCTGTCGTTGACTGGACCCCAAGGAGCCTCGGTGATCTTGGAGTCCTTTTGAAGCTGAAGTCATTTCTCGCACAACGCGCCGCATGCGATGTCTTTGTAAGGGTGCCAACAATTGCTCAGGCAGTCCACGTTGAACAAACTCTTTGGTTCGCTCTGGTTGTTGAGCAAAGGCCTTTGCAAAGCGCTTCAAGATTTCGCTTTCCAGTGCTGCAATCTTCGAATTTCGACATTTCCTCAACGAAGTGTCTCCTGTGGTGCTTCCCAGCAACTCTTCGGCTCGACTGGCCAACAACGACTGATCAAACACTTCACCAAGTTCTCGGACCGCGGTCATCAAACTCTCTGGGTCTGACCTCTGAAAAGCCGCCTCCAAGGAGTCCAAGGCTTTAAGAGCTGCATCTGGAAGGCCAGCTGGATCCAAAGGGTCTGATTTCACCTCTCCATCCTGGATCAGTTCATAGACCTCTGCAGCCGGATCTGTGGATATTTTGGACCTTGGAGACCTTGGCACCTGACCCACTGAGCTGGATCCAGTGGCAGGACGGCCACTGAATGCCGCCGGATAGGCATATCTGGGTGCCCAGGCTGGAGCGACTGAAGCTCCGCTTGAGACGGGTGGCACACTTAAGAAGTGACCGGTGGATGCCAGGTATGGATAGCCATCCAAACTCCATCCTGGTTGGCGGCTGAACCCCATGGCGCAAAAGAAATATGAACATCCATTGGTCAAATTCGTTGGGAATAAAAAAGTACGGACCCTCTGGGGCAGAGAATCAGCAATATTTAGACAAATGATGATAAATGAAAGAAAAGGCCAACTGCCCAAAAATGGTGCAATATGGTGCAATGGTGATGTTCCTTTGCCAGGTTAGACTGGCTGAACAGTATTCCAAAAACCAAAAAAAAATTACACCGGCATAGACCCCAGATAGAAAAGGTTGGAACTGATGGTTCCCAACGTGGGAACCAAAGGTTACCATGGCAAGGAACTGCCGATTCCCAGACCTTGACACTTACGGTTCCCAACCTGGGAACCAGAGGTTACCATTGCAAGGAATTGCCGGTTCCCAGAAGTTAGAATTTATGTTTTCGAAGCTAAGCAACTATCATTGTAAGGAACTGCAGATTCCCAAAGTTTGAAACTCATGGTTCCAAACCTGAAAAAGCATATGTTACCAGTGGAAGGATCTGTTGATTCCAAAAAATTAAAGCTCGTGGTTCTTAATGTTGTTTTGTTTTGTTTACTGAGCCGGTAACAGAACCTTTTGTTTTGCTTAATGGACCGGTAGCGGAATGTGTGCGTTCGGCTGCTGGGCCGGCTTAAAAATGTTTTTGCACGAAAAAGGTGCATGTCAAAATGATATGAAAACAGTTTTTTTACAATTTTTTGGTTTTTGCTTAATGGACCGGTAAAGAACGCTTTGTTTTGCTTAATGGACCGGTACCGGAATGTTTGCGTTTGGTTCATGGCAAGGAACTGCCGGTTCCCAAAGGTTGGAACTCACTGTTGCCAACGTGGGAACCACAGGTTACCATTGCAAGGAACTGCCGGTTCCCAGAAGTTGGAACTCCTGGTTCCCAACCTGGGAACCATGGGTTACCATTGCAAGAAACTGCCGGTTCCCACCTGGGAACCAGAGGTTACCATTGCAAGCAACTGACGGCTCCCAGCGGTTGGAACTCATGCTTCCCAACCTGGGAACCATAGGTTACCATTGCAAAGAACTTCCAATTCCTCAAGGTTGGAACTGATGGTTCCCAACGTGGGAACCAAAGGTTACCATGGCAAGGAACTGTCGGTTCCCAGACCTTGAAACTTACGGTTCCCAACCTGGGAACCAGAGGTTACTATTGCAAGGAATTGCCGGTTCCCAGAAGTTGGAATTTATGTGTTCGAAGCTAAGCGGCTATCATTGTAAGGAACTGCGGGTTCCCATAGCTTGAAACTCATGGTTCCAAGACTGCAAAAGTAACGTTACCAGTGGAAGGATCTGTTGATTGCAAAAAGTTAAAACTCATGGTTCTTAATGTTGTTTTGTTTTGTTTACTGAGCCGGCAACAGAACCTTTTGTTTGCTTAATGGACCGGTAGCGGAATGTTTGCGTTCGGCTGCTGGGCCGGCATAAAAATGTTTTTGCACGAAAAAGTTGCAAGTTAAAATGATAGGAAAACATTTTCTTTACAACTTTTATGGTTTTGCTTAATGGACCGGTACAGAACGCTTTGTTTTGCTTAATGGACCGGTACCGGAATGTTTGCGTTTGGTTCATGGCAAGGAACTGCCGGTTTCCAAAGGTTGGAACTCACTGTTGCCAACGTGGGAACCACAGGTTACCATTGCAAGGAACTTCCGGTTCCCAGAGGTTGGAACTCCTGGTTCCCAACCTGGGAACCAGAGGTTACCATTGCAAGCAACTGCCGGTTACCAGAGGTTAGAAGTCATGCTTCCCAACCTGGGAACCATAGGTTACCATTGCAAAGAACTTCCAATTCCTAAAGGTTGGAACTGATGGTTCCCAACGTGGGAACCAAAGGTTACCATGGCAAGGAACTGCCGGTTCCCAGACCTTAAACTTACGGTTCCCAACCTGGGAACCAGAGGTTCCCATTGCAAGGAATTGCTGGTTCCCAGAAGTTAGAATTTATGTGTTCGAAGCTAAGGGGCAATCATTGTAAGGAACTGCGGGTTCCCAAAGTTTGAAACTCATGGTTCCAAACCTGAAAAAGTAACGTTACCAGTGGAAGGATCTGTTGATTGCAAAAAGTTAGAACTCATGGTTCTTAATGTTGTTTTGTTTTGTTTACTGAGCCGGTAACAGAACCTTTTGTTTTGCTTGATGGACCGGTACCGGAATGTTTGCGTTTGGTTCATGGCAAGGAACTGCCGGTTTCCAAAGGTTGGAACTCAAGGTTGCCAACGTGGGAACCAAAGGTTACCATGGCAAGGAACTGCCGGTTCCCAGAGGTTGGAACTCCTGGTTCCCAACCTGGGAACCATGGGTTACCATTGCAAGAAACTGCCGGTTACCAGAGGTTGGAACTCATGCTTCCCAACCTGGGAACCAGAGGTTCCCATTGCAAGGAATTGCCGGTTCCCAGAGGTTAGAACTTATGTTTTCACAGCTAAGCAACTATCATTGTAAGGAATTGCCAGTTGCGAAAGCTTGAAACTCATGGTTCCAAACCTGAACAAGCATACGTTACCAGTGGAAGGATCTGTTGATTCCAAAAAGTTTGAACTCATGGTTCTTAATGTTGTTTTGCTTTGTTTACTGAGCCGGTAACAGAACCTTTTGTTTTGCTTAATGGACCGGTAGCGGAATGTTTGCGTTCGGCTGCTGGGCCGGCAAAAAAATGTTTTTGCACGAAAAAGGTGCATGTTAAAATGATAGGAAAACATTTTCTTTACAACTTTATGGTTTTGCTTAATGGACCGGTAAAGAACGCTTTGTTTTGCTTAATGGACCGGTACCAGAATGTTTGCGTTTGGTTCATGGCAAGGAACTGCCGGGTCCCAAAGGTTGGAACTCACGCTTGCCAACGTGGGAACCACAGGTTACCATTGCAAGGAACTGCCGGTTCCCACAGGTTAGAAGTCATGGTTCCCAACCTGGGAACCATAGGTTACCATTGCAAAGAACTTCCAGTTCTTAAAGGTTGGAACTGATGGTTCCCAACGCAACGTGGGAACCAAAGGTTACTATGGCAAGGAACTGCCGGTTCCCAGACCTTGAATCTTACGGCTCCCAACCTGGGAACCAGAGGTTACCATTGCAAGGAATTGCCGGTTCCCAGAAATTAGAATTTATGTTTTCGAAGCTAAGCGGCTATCATTGTAAGGAACTGCGGGTTTCCATAGCTTGAAACTCATGGTTCCAAGCCTGAAAAAGTAACGTTACCAGTGGAAGGATCTGTTGATTGCAAACAGTTAGAACTCATGGTGCTTAATGTTGTTTTGTTTCGTTCACTGAGCCGGTAACAGAACCTTTTGTTTTGCTTAATGGACCGGTAGCGGAATGTTTGCGTTCAGCTGCTGGGCCGGCATAAAAATGTTTTTGCACGAAAAAGGTGCATGTCAAAATGATATGAAAACAGTTTCTTTACAACTTTATGGTTTTGCTTAATGGACCGGTAAAGAACGCTTTGTTTTGCTTAATGGACCGGTACCGGAATGTTTGCGTTTGGTTCATGGCAAGGAACTGCCGGTTTCCAAAGGTTGGAACTCACGGTTGCCAACGTGGGAACCACAGGTTACCATTGCAAGGAACTGCCGGTTCCCAGAGGTTGGAACTCCTGGTTCCCAACCTGGGAACCATGGGTTACCATTGCAAGAAACTGCCGGTTACCAGAGGTTGGAACTGATGGTTCCCAACGTGGGAACCAAAGCACAGCACGGTGCAAAGCACCCTGCACAGCACTTCACAGCACCCTTCACACCACCCTGCACAGCACCTTTGCGAGACTTCGCCACCGCAGTCTGGATAGCGCACCTTTGCCAGACCTGCACAGCACCCTGCACAGCACCTTTGCCAGACTTCGCCACCGCAGTCTGCACAGCACCCTGCACAGCACCTTTGCCAGACTTTGCCACCGCAGTCTGGGCAGCACCCTGCACAGCACCCTGCACAGCACCTTTGCCAGACTTCGCCACCGCAGTCTGGACAACAACACCCTGCACAGCACCCTGCACAGCACCTTAGCCAGACTTCGCCACCGCAGTCTGGACAACACCCTGCACAGCACCCTGCACAGCACCTTCGCCAGACTTCGCCACCGCAGTCTGGACAGCACCCTGCACAGCACCCTGAACAGTTTACCAGACTTCGCGACAGCAGTCTGGACAGCACCCTGCACAGCACCCTGCACAGCACCCTGCACAGCACCCTGCACAGCACCCTGCACAGCACCACAGCGCCTTTGTGAGACTTCGCCACCGCACTCTGGACAACACCCTGCACAGCACCCTGCACAGCACCCTGCACAGCACCTTTGCCAGACTTCGCCACCGCAGTCTGGACAACACCCTGCACAGCACCCTGCACAGCACCTTTGCCAGACTTCGCCACCGCAGTCTGGACAGCACCCTGCACAGCACCCTGCGCAGCACCCTGCCCAGCACCCTGCACAGCACCCTGCACAGCACCTTTGCCAGACTTCGCCACCGCAGTCTGGACACCACCCTGCACAGCACCCTGCACAGCACCTTTGCTAGACTTCGCCACCGCAGTCTGGACAGCCCTGCACAGCACCCTGCACAGCACCTTTGCCCCACCGCACTCTGGACAACACCCTGCAGAGCACCCTGACAGCACCCTGCACAGCACCTTTGCCAGACTTCGCCACCGCAGTCTGGACAACACCGTGCACAGCCCCTGCACAGCACCCTGCCCAGCACCTTTGCCAGACTTCGCCACCGCAGTCTGCACAGCACCCTGCACAGCACCCTGCGCAGCACCCTGCACAGCACCCTGCACAGCACCTTTGCCAGACTTCGCCACCGCAGTCTGGACAGCACCATGCACAGCACCCTGCACAGCACCTTTGCCAGACTCCGCCACCGCAGTCTGGACAGCACCTTGCACAGCACCCTGCACAACACCTTTGCCAGACTTCGCCACCGCAGTCTGGACAGCGTCCTGCACAGCACCCTGCACAGACTTCGCCACCGCACTAGTACAGCACCCTGCACAGCACCCTGCACAGCACCCTGCACAGCACCCTGCACAGCACCCTGCTCAAAAGTTCGCCACCGAAGACCCCACCTTTGAGAAGTAAGAACCCCTATAGCTTGCCAGCTATCTGGGGAAAAAACAGTGGCCAGGCATCCCTTCTCCCAGCCCTTCTCCGTGTACAGCGCACTTTCATCCCACCAGCGTCGTCCAGCCTGCCAGGGCGTGACACCTCAACAGATGACCTAAGCAATTCCCAACAACCTCTGGTGGACCAGTTCGACATGTTGTTGTTGGATTCTTCCTGAGCCAGAGGGTTGAATCCGAATGAACATCTAACATCAATGAACCATCATTTTCAGTTTTGGCACAACGGCACAACCACACTTTTTTCGCCATAGCAACCACCACACTGTACCTCCTCTCGCAGCTGGGTCCCCGTCAGCGAATGTGCCCGCAGCAGGGGCATAGCGGCATAGGGAGGTCAACAGAGCGCCGAAGATCCAGTTCTTGCTGGTTTGGAGATGTTGTTTTTTTGAGAGAGTTTGGAATTTGGCCACCAGGAACAAAAGAAATCAAGAAAGACAGCTGTGGGTGGTGCCTGTAGATGCTCCTTTGAAGTAGCTGCAGCCAATCTGGAAGGATGTTTCCAAAGCTTAAACTGTCTCCATTCCTGCCTTTCTGCACATCAAGGGAAGATAGGTAGGCAAATTCTGTAAATGTCCGTCTCCAAAACTGTTTTTTGCTGCTGGATTCTCAGTCTGTCTACGCTCCGCAAGATCAAGCATTATGTATTGGTAAAGTGAAATGTGTTGGTTTTCTTTGGTTGGCCTTTGATTTCTTGAGAGATGCATAGTAAGGTCAGAGATGCATAGCAACGTCACACCGAATTGCACAAATACAAGCAGCCCTAGGATATTTTTAAGGCCAGACATCTTCCAGAATGTACGGACTGGTTCTTGGTTGATAGCCAACCATTCTCAGCAATCGTTTTTCATCTTGCTAGCATAATTCCAAATAAACCAACCTTCAGCCAGCAGATGAACCGAAGCTATCACCAACCCCAACTATTAAACGTTGGGGACCAAAAAAATATAATTCAAAATCGATCAAAACATATATCGAAATGGCCAAGAATACCATTGTGTGTGTCACTGTGTCACCTGCAAAAACGTCCCCAAACCCCAACCGCCCCTGGCAAAGCTTCCCTACCTTAGGTGGGCAAATGGACAAAGCCTGGCTAAGCTTCTCCTCAGCCTCGCAGCCCAAGCTGGAGGGCTGGAGGAGTTTTAGGGACCCTTGGTTTTTGTTTGACACATCAAAGGAATCAAAGTGGTGAGTTCAACTCCAGATTTTGGGATTCCACTGAATTCAACTGAATTCAACTCACATGTGTTGTGAATTTAACCATTTGACTTACACAAAGCTGCAGAGTCTCCATAAAAACGAGGGGTTGACCGGTTGACCAACATGAACAAGTTTGCCTCCTCGATCTTGCCGGCCATCACCAGATGCCTGCCCCAAAGAAAGTACCTGTCCCAGTGCTCAACGGTGTATCTAATGAAAAGCCAAACCTGGCTTCACCAAGTCCAGGAACCAACGGGCGGACAATGTCACCAGCAAGGACTTTGGCAACTTCACTGGGTCAAACGCGTTGTTTTGCGATGCTGCGCCTTTGCCATGTGAAACTCGTCATGGAAGTGGAATTATCACTGTTTGAGTAAGTTTCGAGATCGTTTAGGTATCAAAAAAAAACCTTTGCCAAGCTCTTCACCAACTGTGGTCAAAACAAATGCACATTGAGATACCTCAGCTTCGGCGATGCAAACAAATGTCACGTTTTGCACATGATTGGTTCATGTCTTGCATCTCCAAGGCGGAGTGCGAGACTGTGCATTCACATGTGTAAATATGTTTTTTATTTAAATACATATGTATATATATAATATTATATATATATAATATTATATATATAATATTATATACAAGCACCGTACTTAAGTCACATCAGGCGGGAAAAGTCACATCATCCCCATGGCACGGCGGCGATACGGAGAAGTCACATCAGGTAGTGGAAAGTCACATCAGGGAAGAAGAATCACCATGGCACAGCCTGTTTCATCCATACTTGGAGATGTAGTTAAAAATAGCCGAAGCATTGCGCACAGCGATGATTTTGAAGGGCACAAGTTAAACAAATTTGGGTAAGCAGCAACAAAAAGCAGCAAGCAGCAGCATGGAGCAGCAAGCAGCAGGCAAGCTGCAGGTGAGCAGCAACAGGTAAGCAGCAGCAAGCAGCAGCAAGTAGCAGGCAAGCAGCAGGGAAGCAGCAGGCAAGCAGCAGGCAAGCAGCAGGCAAGCAGCAGGCAAGCAGCAGGCAAGCAGCAGGCAAGCAGCAACCAGCGTTTGCCCCCTTGAAAGAATGATCAATTTTTTTTTTTTAATCAATGCAATAAAAAATTGAACTTTTTCCAGCCGCACGGCCCCAAAACAATGAAATTGTTCAATTACTAAAAGTTGTGGTGATGCCAAACTTGAACTTTTTCCAGGCGCACGGCCTCCCGATACGACTTTTACAAGCTGATACGACTTAACGCTAGCGCTAGTATATGTATATATATATATATGTATATTACGTGTATCCACATATCTAGATGTTGTATGGTATTTATGTGTATTATATAAGATATTTATATATATATATATATACATATTAATATACATTACATATACATACCCCACTAGACCATCCTCCCAAACCTCTCAGGTGCAGACTTGTCCCAGACTGAAGTACAGCCGGAGGAGTTCGCAGCTGATTACTAGAGCTCCCTGGTGCGGTTTCCCAGAAATCACGGAGGTTGGTTGATGATTCTTACCAAGTTTATGGGGATATAATTGGGAATCAATGGGGATGTTAGATGATGTTAGGGGATATATGACCAACAATTTTATGTCTGTTTCAAGCATAACTGTCTTTTTATATGAATTAGACTGAATTTAACTGTCAAACATTAAGTTTCAATTATCAAACATATTGGGCTATATGTAATAGATAAGTGATGATGGTTGATGATAATAAAGGTTGATATATTCATCATAAACCAGCTCATCGTTGAGAATGACTGTCTACCAAAAGCGCCGTATTGCAATATGGGTTACTGTCCGGGAATGTTTTGGGACTATATTATGTGTATATATTTGTATATACATAATATATATATATATACATATATACATATATATATACATAATATATATACGTATATATACACAGTATATCTTCAACAGCATCAACAGCATCAGGATATAAACTAAGAACCCCCAAACCAAAGTAAATGAGAATCAGCTTTTAAAGAATGCCCATGTTTAACATGGAAATCATCAGTGGTTGAGCCAGGCTCTGGATAGCCAGGCTAGTGAGCCACTTGACCCGCAGCCTTGCCTCACGTCTGTCTTTGTCTCGATGTAGCTGTGTGAAAACCTCTCTTGACACCTGCTGTGGATCTGGGCCAGAATCCTATATTTTCGCGTACATGGGTATGTCAAAATTGTGTACCAGTATCACAGAACCTCATTGTTTATCATAATGTTTCCCATGAGAATTGCCATCAAATTGGGTAATTCTTCCACATTTTGAGACAAACCCACATCAAGTTTTGGGCACAACTTGGTTCAATGCTTCCGGTGAAAGCAAATCAGCACGGGCGAAGTCACAGCCTCCACCACTCTTTCTCTAAACCTGGCCCCATTGCTCTCTGCCGGGGATCCGGAACACACTGGAGACACGACCCAAAACACTGATGCTTGTTGTCCCTCGCTTACAAGGAAAATTGACTGAAAGCCCTGATTCTTGACAGAAAGAAGACATAAAGAAGACATGGTTCCAGTAGATTTTACCCCAAACCAATCCATTGACAATGCACAAAAATCGCCCTGTGCCTCCTAGAGTCTGACTTGGCATCAAGCTTCATGGCAAGCTGCCTAGTCCAGAAGCTGCCATGAAGAAAAATACAGCACAGGATGACTGGGTTTACCTTCAGTACCCACAAGCCTTGTTCGTGCCGTCAGCCATAGCCTTGATGCAACAATAGAAGTTTTGCGAACAGAAATCTAGGAATCTACCACTCAAAGGATGATATGGTCTACCAACAAGAATGACTGAAGTCTTTGTTTGGGGATTGAAAGCTGCCGACATTGGAGTTAGCATCCATCGAACTTTGGCATTCCGTTCGAGATACCTGCGGAGGCACATAAAAATTCATCAATCCTGGACAGGCGAAAGGATACTTCAGGGATCTACGAATCTACAGGGTACAGGGTCACGCAGCAGAATCAGTAGAACATAATCTTGGAATCTTGCCTTGTACTCCATTTTCTCACCGCTTTTAAGGCAAACTCCAAACCTTGCATTTTTGAGGGACTCACAGTGCCCACATGCCCAGCCAGCGCAAAGGAAAACATGGCACGTTCATCTGGGATATGCTGGGATATGCATGGAGCTTTGAGGTTTGCGATTTGTGGATATTCATGGATATTCCATTTCATTATTTCATTCTATCTGAAATTTTGGAAACAACAACCCAGCGGTACACCTTGACACAACAAGTCGAAGTCTCTAGAACTTCAGGACGTTCCAGGCAACAAGCTACGCAGCTACGCCCTCCTTCGCTCCGTTCCAAGCCTTCGCTGGTTTCCCCAGCACACCACGCTACGACAATGGCAGCTGTTACCTCATCTTGAATTGATGCCTGACAGGCACAATATGGCACAATGTCAAACCACGCCAAAAAAAAGAGATCCTCATCATGCCTGAGAAGGAAACAGCAACAATCAGCAGAATGTGAGCGACAATCATACGGTCATATTGGGCCATATACCATAAACATCCATCAAGGACGCCATAAACCATACCCCAGGCCTCTTTGTCCTTTGCCGTAGGCTTGCGACTTTTTGTCGTGTCAAGCCTCGGAAGTCCACCAAGAAATATGTGTTAAATCCAACTATCACTACGTGTCCACATATCACTACGCCCCAAGTTTCATCAAGTTTCTACATCTCACCAAACCACAAATTGTGACGCCCCAAACTAAGGCAACTTAGGCATCGGCAATTTGTACAATTGCATGCCATCGTTCAGGTCGCAGAAATCCAGAAAGGCGCGGCAAAAACCGCCCTCTCTTTCCATCACACCCACGCCACACCATGTGAGTGTGCAGAACCCTGCTGACAAGACCTGTGCACAGAATTAACCCCTGCTGCCACTAATTTTTCGCTGCACAATGTTCATAGTACAAGTTTTCGCCAAAATCAAAAAGAACATGTTCTTTCTCTTGCTGCTCTTGCTGTTTTTGCTGTGTGTTTTTTGTTGTCGTCGTTGTTGCTGCTGATGCTGCTGTTGTGTTATTGCTGTTATTGTTCTTGTTGTTGATACATTTTTGCTCCATGCACTGTCAACACGACCAACATCAAGAAAGCATGTTTGAGCCCAACATGGACTTGTAATCGCAAGATTTTGATGGCACTTTTGAACGCTAATTGCACATATTCCAAGGATATCATGGAGAAGGACATTGCTGGCTAAATTTTCAACGTCAACGCCGTTGCTGCTCAAATTTGCCTTTGTAATCTCTCTCTAGCGTCGATGTGATTGCCCAGACTTGATTTCACAGATTGAGGGGCGTTTCATCGAACAGCTTGGCATTGTGTTTTCAAGAGGTCCTTGAATAGTTCTGGGATCCTTTTGGTTGAGAAAGAATGCGGTCTGCTGATGGAATTTGTTCACCTCTTTTTGAGTCTCCACTTATTCTGTTTTGTCTGTATCTTTCAATTTTCAATTTGGCTGGGTAGGTCATGTCTTGGTTCAGCCAGTTTTCTCAACTCTCTGCCTCCCACTTTCTGAACTGTTTGAAACGTGAATCACTGAACATCCTGTAGAATCGTTGCAAATTGGACAGACCGCCGAACCTATATATATGTACAGTTGAAAATGACGGGCCAGCAGCATGCAGCAAAAGGATTGAAAGCGGGCCATGTTAGCCCATGGAAAGGCATTCAAGTTGCAAGAAAATTGTCAAGCAAATCCTGCATATCCACATCGCAAGGTCCTTTGAACTGGACCGAGTCGTGACGGTAGTCTTCCAAAAAGTCCAAGAACCTGGAAAACTGACCGGATCGGTCTGCTTGACCTGCTCGCTCATGTGGCGCATCCCGAAATTCTTCAATCACTCGCCTGAACTTCTCCCGTAGCTCTGGGCATGCAGTTCGATCTAACAGGGATTGTTCCTTATCCTCCACGGACTCCTCAATGATAACTGCCTCAAGAACTTCTTCAGGCACGGCGGTATCACCCATTAGTCTGGCACCACGAAGCCAAATGTGGACTTGCAGTGGATAGGTGATCTGCCTTGGACTCTGGGAGAAGAACTTCGCAACGCACTCCTGAGACAGCGAGTTCCTGTTAGTAAGTGGGTAATTAGCATATCACCAGTACAATCCAATCTTATATTGTATGGCACATCTCCAGGTATCTCAATGTGCTAAAGAAATACAATCAAAATCTATCAAATAGAACCGGACAAATGTACACGATACAGGTATAGGGCCCAGACTTAAAGAAAAAGTGATGTCAACCCTGGATTCATAAACTGCGAAGTTGTTTCATGAGGGTTAGGTTTCGGTAGCAAACTATCATGTTGCGGGGGCATCCCCCTAGTTTATCAAAGCAAGTCTTTTATTTCGGGTTGACATTAGTGAGTGATGCAACCTTGATTCATCCTGGTATATTGTTTCGACTTGATGTTTGTGCTCTAGTACTCTAGTGGCATCTTCTGGACAAAAATTTGATTATTTTGATTTTAGCTCTTAGGGTTGTCGCAAAACAGGGTTCCCTGTCATATGTTTTTTGGTGTTGTCTTTCATCTTGTTCTGGTGGTTCTTCCTCTTCCAGCTCATCTTCTTTAGCTACTTTAGTTTGTCTGCCGTGAATATATATATACACATATTTTTTGTATATTATTGTTTGGCATATTTGCTTTCTGGGTAGAGGCCTGCAGGTCTTCAAACATACTGGCTTTGCAACAAAGTCTTCTGCAGAACGTGAATAGATTTTAACAGCATTGATGTTTCAACTTTCAACCTTTAAGTTGCAAGACAAAAGGGACATGGAAGTGCAGTCAAAGCGGTGCCAAATTCAAATGAAAAAAGGACAAACATGGAAGATGTGTTTGTCCTACATTGAAGAAAAGAGAAAGATAAAGATGACATAGTCTGACAAAATGACTGTAAACCAGCACTGAATAAGATTACAAAATGTTCAAATCCAAACAAAATATTTGCTTGTTATGGCTCCTCAGATACGTGGCTTGCCACGTCCCCCTATAGCAAGATTTTCATGCACCACTTTGTGATGACGCTCCCGAAGCCCAGCTGCGGATTGGTGGTGGAAATAAAGCTTGCCCCAAACCCAAGCCCATGTGCCAGACCCAAAATTTGGAAGGAAAAAAGAACTAACGAACGAGTTTCTTCCAGGACCGTGCATCTGCACCCTGCTGGGGCCTTTAACCAAAATCCACCCATGTCACGATTGCTCCGCCAAACGGATGAAAACTGGTAGGTCACTTCGTCCACCTGAGCCGCGGCCGAAAGCCAGTCACTACAGAGTTGGTGGCTTGTAAAATATTGTAAACCCATCAACCAGCAACACTTTCGTGGCCGACTCCAACCTGTGAATGTGCATCTGGGTGATCTTCATCCGCCTCCTCTGCCATGATGTGACCCGGGAAGGGCTGAGCAAGCAGCAGTGCTATGTCTCATCTACCAATGGCTGGAGCCTGAAAAGATGAATCACCGGCGTTAACGCTACTTGAAACTGTTATATACATGGATTTGAGCTGCCCTCACACTGCTATGGAAACTTCGGCGCCTTTGCCAACACCTGCTACTAGGAGGCGAAGCTTGTACGTCTGCCTGCTTCACTTAGCTCCCTCAAGCTATGGAGGCCTGTTCATCCAAGCTCTTTGTGGAGGTGGGGCCCTTTTTCAACGCCTGCTACTAGGAGGCGAGGCCTGTACGTCTGTATGCTTCACTTAGCCCCCTCAAGCTATGGAAGTCTGTTCATCCAAGCTTTTTGTGGAGGTGGGGCCCTTTTTCAACGCCTGCTACTTGGAGGCGAGGCCTGTACGTCTGTATGCTTCACTTAGCCCCCTCAAGCTATGGAAGTCTGTTCATCCAAGCTTTTTGTGGAGGTGGGGCCCTTTTTCAACGCCTGCTACTAGGAGGCGAAGCCTATACGTCTGTATGCTTCACTTAGCCCCCTCAAGCTATGGAGGTCTGTTCATCCAAGCTTTCTGTGGAGGTGGGGCGGCTGTCCGGCTGTGTGGACGCTACAAGTGTGGATTGGCTGGATGACTGCAGCAAGGGCTCTCTGCATTCCTCCCTGTCCCACGGGATGATGCTGGTGTTGCATGCTTTGGGATCCAGCTGGGTGTAAGTGATTCGTTGCAAGCCCTCAGATGTGCGATCTAAGGTTTCTTGCATCTTACCCAGCAACTCTGTGAGTGACTGCAAACACGCTCCATTTGGGGCATTCTCCAAAAAGGCCTGCATGAAAGGACTGTGATGCTGAGAGGCATCACTTCTGTCCCTAGCCATGCACCCACTGCCGGTTGCACAAACACAGGAGATAGCTGCCCGATTGTTGTCTCCAAAAAGGCCACGTGGCGGCTCGCTCCACTGGTCACGAAGATCATCCTGAGACATCTGGGCCTGGTGCGAAATCTCGGCCCTGCAGAAATCCAAGAAAAACACAAAATGAGACCTCGAAGAAATTTTCGAGCAATCAAAGCCTCCCTGAGGCTCTCCGCGGTGACGTCTGTGGATGAGTACAAGTCTGTCAAAGATATCTTGCAGCTTGACATATGTACGATAATCATTCTTATCTGCATCCTGGGGAGCCCAAAGCAAGGATCTATAAAACTCCGCGCCGTGGCCAGACAAGAGTATCAGGACAAGCACTCCATCTCTGCCTTGAATTTCCTGCACAACGTTGGTCAAGCCCGCCAAGAACCGAGTCTTTGTAGCATCCGGTATGCGGTGCACGTGATCCCTACGGTATCTGTGACCTAGCAGAAAGATTTCAAAGTCTACTCCGTCTCTGTTTGGATTGACAAGCTTTTGAAATGTTGAGGCATCGCCATATTCAGCAGTGCAGATCAAGGCATAATGGTCCTTATATGCGATCAACTTTGCACTCCTTCCATCTCTGACCACAACCACGGGTTGCATGAGAACCAAGGACCGCGCACTCTTCACCAAGCACTTGGCCAAATGATATGAGCAAATAAGAGCTACAACCACACCACCAAAAATGCCACCAGTAATGCCGAAGCGAATCCCCCACCGCTCCAGCACGTATCCATTACAGCTTTTGCGGCAGGCTGGGTCGGCAGTTGAGATGCAACACAAGTTTTGAGGATCCTTACCTGACTCACTGCAGTCGCGTCCCATCAGGCTTTCATTGCTGCTGTCCAGTGGGCAGGGAGCATACTTGGAGCAGTCCTCCTCCTCCAGCTGGCAGTGTTGATGCGGAGAAGGCGTTCCTTAGATGTCAAAGGATTGGAAAGCGCCGACCCTGAATACAAAGCAAAGATCAAACCCTATCATGATTACAAAATTTGGTCCCCAACCCCTCCAAATTTAAATTTTGCATTTGGCTGCGCGGTTGGCGCCGGTGGACAAAAGAAATCGAACCTTCAACAAAAATCAATGTATCCGATCATGTCATGTTCAACATTGAAGTTTGGGGTGGGGGGTTGTTGTTAGTTGGCCTCCTCAGCATTTTACTGGTTTGTCAATCCACTGTGGTTTCAAAAATTTCAACTTTCTTCAAACGCTCTGAGATCATGTGACCCTCAGGTAGTGAAACATGGCCATGGGAAATACGCATTTTCAACAGGCAGACCATCTCCAAGTTGGGACTGGTACCCGGTCAAGCTACCATAGCCCTTCAGGCAGCAACTCCGTTTACCTCGACTTGCAGGTCGTCCGGGCGTAGCACGACAATCCACGCCGAAACCACAGGAGCATTGTGGAGGCCTGAAACGCCGGCATTCAGCAGCGTGGCTGAGCATCAAAGATTGGCCCATGGCCCATGGCCAGGCCAAGTATGGGAACCCACTAAAATCATTGCTCAAGATGACCACCATCAGGCGGATCCAAGGTATTTAATTGCATACCACAGCGTACGAATGTTTTAAAATACTTTTTTTTTGGAGAATCAAATCATTTTTACTGAAGTTACATTGACAATCTGAGACTTTCCATCAGGAGTTTCAGCTTGTCCATGTATACCTCATATATACCTCATGGGTGGCAAGATGTGGCATGTGAGTCCACTTCACTAAGCCGCTGGCTGCGAGCAATTCCGCTGGCACCAGTCGATCTCATCCTCCACTGAATTGGTGACCCCAAGACAGCAAGCTCTCCTGTCAGGATCCATGCAATCCATGCCAATGCCATGGTTGCAGCAGCCCTTTGCAATTTGCTCCTCAGGCACGTCGTCCCTATCGCTACAGCACCTGCCATGTTTCTTGGATTTCGCCACAGGATGCAGAGTTTCACCGCAAACCTGAGGTGTACCATGCGAACTGAGCGGACAGTAGGTCCCAATGTCGCAGGTGATGGGGAAAATGTGTTTGCCATCGATGATCTTCGGCTTGATGCATCTGAGAGTACAATTATTGTCCATCATGCACTGATAATCATCTGCTGGGAGTAATTTCCTTGAGTCACAACAACAACCGTTTGTGTTGTCATTGGTATTGTGGCACACTTTTCCGGCAGATGAACCCCGCCACAGTGCTGCAGCATCAGAACACAAGCCTTGGTTGTTTCAAGGTCTCCTACCATTAAATTTCCCGAATAGGATTTGGGCATGATTTTGGGATGGCGACTTAAACGTGGAGTATATTCGTGTACATGAACATTTTGAAAGATTCACAGGGTTCGTCATCAAATCATACAAGGATGGGGGTGTACAGGGTGTACATGTTTAAACCAAAACAATGCACATCAAACAAAAAAATCCGACAACAAATCACATGCAAGACCTAGACACTTGAGGATGGGGTGCACTGCACAGACACTGGAGTGGATCTCGGGTGCCCATACGTGCCACTTGCGAAGGCCGTCCAGCTCAATGTCCAGTGAACGAAAAGTTCCAACCTTGGGCGCTCAGCCATGGCCGTCTGATTTCAAACATCCTACCGATCCTACCTAGAAAAACACAAGGTCCCATCGATATCCCTTGGTTGATTGAAGTTCCTAAAAATATGATTTTAGGATGGTAAAAACTGGTCCACGTTTTTTGCCTGGTGCCGTGCATAAACTAACCCCAAGTTGTTTGAAAAAAATTGCACGACCGGACATGTTGTCAAAATATGCTAAAACAAGGAAATGATATCATCGGACTCTGTTGGACAGTATAGTATATGTTTATGTTTTTTTCCAAGTATTGCTGTACCTTTGTGGCCAAAGGCATGAGGATGGGCATGGTTTGCACAGCCTGGTTTTTTTTTAACTCATCTATTTTGCACGATTGCATCCTGTTCGTGGGGGTTGCCAGTTTTCCATACACGGAAATTGTCCCACAAAATTGTGCGTTCCCTGTGACAAGTTCCATCATGGACGGAATTGGACCAAGTCAAATCTCCACTTGCAACAAAATCAAAAGTAATATTTTGAACATTTATGTCAGTCACATGTTTGTCCTGGACTCCCACACAGGATTTTTTGTTTGTCAATTACAAAAAACTGTTTGACTGCACAACTGGTTCGCTACATATTTCCAATACATTGGTTTTTACCTGCGACATACCAAAGAACCTCATGTTGAATCAAGAGCGCGTTCGGTTTGTTGCCGTCCCAGCCCATACTCCGCTTGAACCGAGCGCTAACAACTGGCAGTGCTGAAGCGAAATGTTTCAAAAATCCTTGCCTCCATCATGTAACATGGAAAATATGTTTTCAATATCAATCTTGTGTTTGCATACTGTAATGATTCGGCCTTGCTCGTCCACCAAAACACCACAGCACATGAAATATGTTTTTAAAAAAAAATCATTTGCAACTAAAAGGCAAAAATATACGCCAACGACAAACCTATGAAAAAATACAATTGTTATGTTTTACCAATATTTCGACAAACCGAGTTTTGTATCATTAAATTGTTTGCCGCACTCGGATGGTTCATTTGATATTAGAAACACCACTTTTCAACTGCTGCGAATTCCAAATGGGTCCAGAATTTTTTGTGGTGTTTTTTTTATTTCCCCAAGAGAGTGTGGACTACCGTGGGGGGTCGAGTGGTGAAAGTATTGATTTTGCAGTTTTTTTTTAGATATGGAAATGGTTTGCACATGAAGCCACAAATCACGACTGTCCAAAATACTACATTTTCTACACAGATGTTGTCTCTTTCCAAGAATGCCTTATTTTTTGTTTAGCATTTTGGAAAAGAAAAAATGTTTATATACAATGATTTTGATGCCTGCAATGAATTCTGCATTATATTGTCGTACATATTACCATATGTACATATAATCACTATTTGACAAATTTATTGTTTTTTTCACAATAGGTTGTGTTTCTCGATAAATCCGCCCGCACCGAAGGTGCTGGGGCGTGATCTTCCGGATGGCACTCGTAAAAGGTTACAGGTTTACCTGGGGGGGGGAAGGCATTTTTCGGCCAAAACCTCGTTTTTGATAGGTCGTGACGCTCGCCTTCAAAAAACACTGTTAAAAACAGTACGGAAGACACCTGTTCGTGAACGCGCCCGTCCTCAAAATTGGCAAGCGAAAAGTGAAAAAAAACCGTGTTTTTCAACTTTTTGACCTCAATTTTTTGGTTTGCAACATCTTTTTTTGCGGTTCCGCAGGTGGCTGGGCCCGGAGGCGGATTTTTGAGTTTTTGGACCCGTTTTCGGACTGATTTTCGTCGTTTTGTGATAGCAGAAACACTGGTTTTTACAGTGTTTTTCTGTTTTTTGCATGCTTGACGGCTAGCTTCAAAACTTCCAAAAACCTCGTAAATTACGCTGTTTTATTTTACGGTGTGAATGAAAACATCGTAAATACCAGTGCTTTTTGACGTTGGTTAAAAAAACACTGTAAATTACAGTGTTTTTGGCCACCTGACCCTCAAAAACCATGGTATTTGCAGTGGTTTCTGCTTCTCACCGCGCAAAAACACTGTAAATAACAGCAATTTCGCCGTTTTTTCATGTTTTTCGTTATTTTTTGAACTGCGTTGGTCCGCTATACATGGCTATCAAATTCTTCGCGTTTTTTTTTTCCGACAATCAGTACTTTCGGATGTTTTTGGTCTCAATGGCCGACATCATTGGCAGTTACGAGCGGCTGCCCAACGATGCGGTGCAGGCGGTTGCCGTTGCGAAGCGACGTGAATATGTATTTGATATTGAACATACATGAGTGCAATTTCCAGCTGCAAATTCTGCATTTTCTGAAAAGTGTTCTGCATCCTTTCATGCTGTTCATGAGTGTGTTTCAAAAAAGAACATGTCCAGATTGAACATGCACTTTTTCAAAAGATGGTTTAACCACGATTGAACCTAGACCTTTTCCAGGCATCATCTATATTTTGCCATATTTTGCCTTAAAAGCGCTGCCTTGTTGAAAAAAAGTAACACACTTGCAGAGAATCAATACACTTTGCGCATGAAAGCGCAACGGAAACTTGAGAAATGTACTTCCCGAAAAGACTCTGTATCTTGAACAATTTTTTTTGAGAAGATCATGCATCTTGAAGACAACCATGTTTTCTGCACTGAATTGTGTGTTGTACCTTTGTGAAAATATAAAAATACGGGCAAACACCTCGTTTTGCCCGCGCTTGTCGGCGGCCATCTTCGTATGTGCTGAAAACGTGGTATAAAAAGGGAATTTGTTTGCATCATGGCTAACTTAATGTTGTATATTGGCAAGCACAGCATAGGGACCTGTGCGAGTCTCTTACTCATCATCATCATCATCATCATCATCATCATCAAACCCTTATTGAAGATCTTCAATGAATGTAGAAGTTTAACGGGGGTGGGAGAATCAAACCCTTATTGAAGATCTTCAATGAATGTAGAAGTTTAACAGGGGTGGGAGAATTAAACCCTTATTGAAGATCTTCAATGAATGTAGAAGTTTAACGGGGGTGGGAAATTTATATTGCCTAAATACCCTTGTTGATCTTCCCAATTGAATGTAAAGTCTAACGTTTGATATCCCCAAGTGTACAGCATAGAAGGGGTGTGGGCGATACCGATACGGGGTGTTTGCGCGTAAAACTACAAGCACATGTTTGAAAGATTTATGGCATGCTCTGCACAATTGGTGCCCCTTTCAAAGGAGATAATGGACAAAAATTGGTTGTATTCTCTAGCTATAGGCTGTACACTTCCTGCTAGGGGCATTGCATCCTTGAATGACATATTGCTCATTTTTGTAGGAGTGATGTCTGACTAGTGGGAGGAGGAAGGATCCGCGTTGAAAATATTGTATATTTCAACCATGCATGTTGTTTGAAAGACTAGTACATCTTAAACTAGTTTTTCAAAATATAATGCATGACTACAAGAATGTTGCTTCTCTCAACCTATTACATTGTACAATGAAAAATTGAACCTTAAAATTTGAAATGAACACGTCTGTTCAAAGGAATACCAACATTTTTTCAAGAAAGGCTGTATCTGTGGCATGCAAGAGTTGCCAAGAAGAATAATGTGGCATTCTACAAAATAGTATTTGTTTCTTCCAAAGGAAAACAACATTTTTTTTAGGGGAATTTTGTCGTGAGGGATACATATTTCCTTTTTGAAGGAGCAAACACTTTGAGACAAACATATTTTTTGTACAACACAGTGTTGCTTAAACAATCCATTTTTGAAAAATAAATGTTTTATGTTAGATATCACTTTTAGTGATTCCAGGTTTGAAGAACACGAACCAAACCTTTAAACATGAGAAACCAAAACCTCGGCATACCAATAAAACATCAATCCTATAGAGTGCCTGAAGAGGTGGGTGATAGAGTTGTTTTTCCTGTACATTTTCTCTAATGGTTCAGTAGCCAAAATCAGTAACTCAATGAAGACATCAATATAAAATGTGGAGGGGTGAAAGCTGTGCCAATGGATGTTTGTTAGGGCGATTTTTTTTCCCAGGAACCCAAGAAACAGGAAAACAAAAAACACAGAAAAATGAGCAACTGATATTGTTGGACTGACACAGTTGCAAAAACCTCGAGTTGTTTTTTTTTGTTTTTTTTGTTTTTCCATGGGTTTTGGGGCATTTTTGGGCCATGGTCGCAAAAACCTCGAGAAAACCAAAACCTGAGAAGGAGAGAACAAAAGCCAGCAGTCTTTTTGGCTGCCGAGCACAGTCGATTTGGCACTACAAGCAGCCCCAAGACATAAGCCAAACAGCCCCGGAAAGAAATTTGTTGCTACAAGCAGCCCTGATAGCGACACACAACGTGTTCCGTTTGACCCTAACATGCGCACGAAAGAACACACCAGTTGGTGCCAGAAGAAACCAAAAAATCACGGACCACAGTGCTACAAGCAGCCCCACAACTGAAGCCAGACAGCCCCAGAAAGGAATTTGGTGCTACAAGCAGCCCCGATAGCGGCAAACAACGTGTTCCGTTTGGCCCTGTGTTTGTGTCTATCTCGCTCTACGCGACGTGTTCGTTTTGAAGCTACCATGCCCAAAAAGGAACACGCCATTTGGTGCTACAAGCAGCCCCAAAACATAAGCCAAACAGCCCCAAAAAGGAATTTGATGCTACAAGCAGCCCTGATAGCGACAAACAACGTGTTCCGTTTGGCCCTCGCATGGGCACGAAAGAACACACCAGTTGGTGCCAGAAGAAACCAAAAAATCACGGACCACAGTGCTACAAGCAGCCCCACAACTGAAGCCAGACAACCCCAGAAAGCAATTTGGTGCTACAAGCAGCCCCAATAGCGACGAACAACGTGTTTTTTTTAGTCCTAACACGCGCACAAAAGAACACACCAGTCGGTACCAGAAGAAGCCCAAAAATCACGGACCAGGGGGGAATCGATACCCCACCCAGGTCAACGTTGGATTGTGAAACTTCTCGATCGGATTGTGAAATTTCCGGGTCGGATTGTGAAACTTGGATTGTGAAGTTTGCCGCACGGATTGTGAAACTGGTATTGTGAAACTTGAAAATCGGATTCTGAAACTTGAAACTCGGATTGTGAAACTCTAAAGTTGGATTGTGAAACTCTGGAGACGGATTGTGAAACTCTGGGGGCGGATTGTGAAACTAGGATTGTGCAACTCTGACAGCGGATTGTGAAACTCTGGGGGCGGATTGTGAAACTAGGACTGTACAACTTGGAAGGCAGATTGTGAAACGCTGGGGACGGTGAAACTGAGATTGTGAAACTCTCAAGACGAATTGTGAAAATTTGGGGGGAGATTGTGAAACTGGTGTTGTGAAAGTCTGCAGAGAGATGGTGAATCTTTAGGTGGAGATGTGAATTTTTTCCTTGATGCAAAAAACGTCTGAACATACACTTCTCGATTTGTGCGTGTTGCACATGCAAGACATCCAACTGCAACAACTATATATACGCTATTGGAGCTGGAACTACACTGACGTAAGTGATTTTCACCCCGCCTCGACACTGCTACCTGCCAAGTGTCGAAAAATCCTGAAAGAAACTGCCAAAAATTGCAAACAGGTGTGCAACTGGGGTCCAACTTTTGGGATGCCAGTCCAACTCTTATTTCTTCGAAATCAACCTGCTGCAATGACGTGAAACACTCTAATTTCCTCTAGGTAAATGCCAACCGGGACCCAGGTTAACCCCGGGCTAAGGCTGCAACGCAGCTCTGCTGGCTGTG